GCGATACAGCGATTACCATTTTCTTGCACGAATGAAACCATTGTTTTCACAGAATCTTTGGAAAAGTGTTCTCGATGCAACAAAATCATTGCAGAATTCAATTGTTCAATTCAAATCAAGGGTACGAATTCATCTGTTTACCCTCGTTGTGATTTGCTATTCTTTGAAACATCATCAAAAATCAAAAAGAATTAAAAATGGATTAATGCCACCCGGGACAAATATTCACATTTTACATCCGAATTCAGGAATTTAATGCAGGCAAATACGTTGGGATTGGCAAAATGTGACTTCTATCAAGAAATACAATCTTTTGTGATAGCAAAATATTTACTTGGAAATCGAGCGACTGTGGTTGAAGCATATGAAGAGTCTCTCATTCAGTATACAGTCAACAACGAAAAAAGCAGTTTCTTGGAAAACATTCAATTTGTTTAGAAATCAAGATGCGAATTCAAGCTATTTCAACAGTTTTTTAAAAAAAACTCTTAAGTTAAAAAATGACCATGAATTGTCTTTGAAAATGAAATTATTCACTTTTACATCTGTAACCCATGACTACGTTTGCTCTCAGCTAATCCAGAATGTTACAGCTATCCTAAAATTGATGTAAGTATTTTGCAAAATCATAAATAGAATATGAATTCTAATTTTTATTTCTATGTTTTCTCCGAAATACAGGAATTCGCATTTTTGCCTGTTGAACCTTCTCTTGATATTATATTAATCTTTACCATTTGCACTCAAGGAGATCATCGAAGATACAGTAATAACAGCATGCATTTATGCTAGGGATTCATTTCACATGTATTTTTTGAAGCCAGGATGGGACCTCACTAGAAGAGATCTTTTCAGGGCAGTTCAGAATCGGAGAAGACTTTTGGCTTTTGACTTTGAATAAATTCACCCTTTCTAATCTTCAAATTTGCTTTTTATTTCATCAATTTTTTAATTGTGTTTATTCTCAATCAGCTCTTCTAAAATGCCGCACAAAAGGTTTCCTTGGTTTAGAAGCTAAGTTGAACCAAAGAGTAAGGTAACTTACTCTTTGAGTTGAACACTAGCCGTAAGTAAGAATGCGAGAGTCAGCCTACGGTTACTTCTACAGCCTTAACAAACTATAATGATAGGAATTGGATTTTTTCGATAAAATAGAAGAGCAGGACTCAATTCAATCATACGCTTATTTTTACATTATTATTTATAGCAATAACAATACAAATTTAAACTTGCAAATATGTCCACTTCCATTAACGATAGAATCAATTCAGGTAACTTGAGTAAACATTGAAATTTTATCTGTGCAATTGGTTCTAAAATAGGAAAAAAATTACAACCTGTATTGCTATAAAACAAGACAGGAAAAGCTTGAAGGCGGAAAAGACTTGAAATTAACATGGCATTTGAACATACAAAATACTTTTCTGAATATTAATAATTCAATCCTTGTTTGAATCAAAGTTTATTTTCACATTTTGCTTGGATCAATTGCAAAACCTTTCAGATTCTCATCTCATATTTTCAACTGGATTGGTAACAAATAATGTAAATTCAATACAAAAAGACTTAAACGTTTGTCACATTTATATCACCCTGAGGCCAGGAATAAAACCATATGAAAAATTGTTTCAGTATTATTGGAATACAATGTTTGAAAATGAAATGCTCAATTACATGACATCGTGCAATATCATGCATAACATATATTTTGCCATGATAGTCATCATTGTCTGATTATTATGATAAACTTTAAATTACTTTCTGCTGAAAGTTCATGAGTATCCAGATAAAGTCAACATTTGAATGACAATTTGAAATTGGTTTGTTTCCACAGTAAATAAATGAAACGGAAAGTAAAGTTGAGACAATTTAATCAATTCTTGTTGAAGGTATGTCAACAAAACTCTCTAATCATCTTCAGAATAAAACAATTTTAACAATTTTAATGATATGGGATTAGAGGATTCATTGCTTTGACCTCCGTTACTAATTGGTAATATTTCATTTCTGAATTGCTCGAAAATGCACTGGCTCATAGGCTATCGTGAATGTCCACTTTGCATATCACGTCCGTTGATAGAGTGAACCAAACAATAAAAATATTCATTGAAATTTTTCTCCTACTAGATTAACTACGATTTTTCTTGTTTTGGCTTACGTTAGCTCAGTAATCAAGTCTCTCTTGTAACAAGCGAGCTCATTTCGAAGCTTATAGTAGTAGTTACTGCATGTGAACTTCAAGCTTTCGATCGATATTAATCTATTTCAATTCTTGATTGTTGGTCGTTTGCGATCAACATCCTTTTTGTCTGCTTTTGTAAAAATTTATTTTTAATTAAACAAAATTTAAGTATTTTAATATTTTTCTTTGTGAATTCATGGGCAAGAATGAAAATTGATCATTTCATGTGTGAAAATCAAAACAATCAAATAATTTTTACCAACAATTGTAAATTAATCAATGGTTTGAACCCAAAAATTGAAAGAGGCCATGAACCTATGTGGTTACCTAATACTTTGAATGATCACAGTTCTGCATTTACCTAATATCAATCTTATCAGATTACCTTTATTCACAAGACAAACCATCTGAGCCCGGATAGAATGAAAAGTTCAAGTTCACAGATAATTTAAGCTCTGCATAACATAAATTGTTGAGAAACTGATTGATACCTTTTCTGCATTGAAAAGGTAAAAGTTCAACCTAGAAAATGATAATTTATCATCAGATTTCGATGCATTGAATGCATATAAAGTGATTGAAAAATGCGCAGCGTTTAAATTTATTTTCAAAGTGGATCAAAATTATTATAACGAAGTTGAGGCACTAAAAATGATCCAATACAAAAATTTCAAGTTCTTCAATCAAAACTAATCAAATGATAGACGCAAGACTTGTCCTGCAATTTCACCAAAGGCGTATATTTACTCACGAATCACAATTTGATTAAATTAAGAACAAAGCATTCACAAATTGAACGCAACATTTGCAAATATTTTTCAAATCAATATGCAACTGACTCAAGCTTGCAGAATAGGGAAAGTCATGGAAGCTCCAAATTACCAGGTGAATAGTAAAGCTGTAAACAAAAAGACATTTTCACTGATTCAAGTTTCCCTTGAAACCTGCTTCAATGAACTTTTCTAGGTGATTGGATAATGATTATTAAAATGATTTTACTCAGTTGGTCCACATTGGGAGTGCAAATAACAGTGAAACAAATTGATGGTTAAAATGAGATTAAAAGTTGCTTACATTGCTATCCAAGTATCCATTGCTGTCAGAATCATAGAGACGAAACATGACTTGATTTATACGTAAATTGTCAGCCAGTGATGATCAGGTTCGACAAGGCAAAAGGAAAATGGAAAGAGAAGGAAATAAAAGAGAAGAAAAGGCGAAAGTGAAAGAGACAGACAAAGATGCTTCGAAATGGGTAAAGACAGAACATGAAAGTTGAATGATCATGATATTGACATTATGTTTCAACTTTACATGGAACATGTTTTAATAGACATTCTTGTTTTTCACGCTTATTCCGTTTTCTTTTTCACTCTTTTTTCCATTGATTGTCATTCAACCATCAAACCCAAAACTCTTGCTTGTTGTGCTCATTTATCACAATATTAACCATATTGCAATTGTTGCTCTTTCCGTTCCTTTACCATCAATATTCAGCTCAAAATAAAAAATCAGTTTCAATAATCAAATCACTATTCAACTGATTCTCATGTTGATCCAAATTGTGAAATGTTCAACTTCATTGCTGTTGCTCATCTCTTATTCATCTTCTTGGTTCTACTTTTTTTCGTCTCTTTTCTTCTTCTTCTTCAATTTCAACTTCTTTTATTATCAAATTGATTGTCAATCTGATCACAATTGGATAGATAATATTACATGTTGACTGGTCATTTAATTTGAGCAAAACTCTTATTACAATTGATCAAAACGGATTTTGACGTGATTGTTACTCGAACGAAGAGCAAAAATTATATCAACTGTAATTCCCTTTTAGTTTTCTCGTTTTTTTTCTGTTAGTTTTTTGTATTTATATCATTCACTTTAATCATCATCATCCTCATCATCATCAATCAATCGATTTATCATGAAAATGGTCTCAATAACCTTTAACCTTATCCAATTTAATTTTGTTATAACTGTTTAATGCAACATTTATAAGCACATTTTATCATTTTAGGGCCGATCCGATGAACCAAAAAATGTTTAAAATGTTGTTTAAATCTTTGTTAGTAGGCAATGTTTGTTTGATTTTGTTACGTCATCAACATTAACACTGTCCGATCAAAAAATATACAATCATTTTATTCATGCGCCTTTACATTTTTTCAGATTAAATTTCTTGTTTTTTTCTGTTAGTTTTTTGTATTTATATCATTCACTTTAATCATCATCATCATCATCAATCAATCGATTTATCATGAAAATGGTCTCAATAACCTTTAACCTTATCCAATTTAATTTTGTTATAACTGTTTAATGCAACATTTATAAGCACATTTTATCATTTTAGTGGCTTTCCACTCTTCCCTTTGCCTTTCGAGCAAATGAAAATGCGATTGTTAAGTGTTTAAATTTTAACCCAGATAATTGCCATTGCATTATCTAGATTAAATGGAAAGACTAAAACACTGAAAATTGAAAAACTTGCATTCGATGATTGAACCCAAAATGCCATCTTTTCCCTTTCATTTTGTGCTACAAGATGAGGAAAACTATTCAAAAATTGAAAGCATCTTTTACCTCGACATTAAGCTATTTAATCATCGATTCAACTGGAAATTGCTTTCAACTAGATTCACGTAAATCTCACTGGTTAAGTATTAAAGGTAATAAGAAACATGGGATTTTGCAAAACTTCATGTCAAACTGAACAAAGGAAAAACATGATCGAGTAAAATATCAAGCATTACTGGGCTCTTGAGATGGTGGAAAGGTTAAAGTAATTACAGAATTTTGGTCGAAAATTTCAAAATTCATTCTTCTGACGCATTTACACAAAGTTCATAGTTCGAGTCGAGAAGTCATTAAAAATTTAGCTTTTCTAAAAATAGAAAAATTAACAAAAATTAATTTATATCAAAAGTCAAATTTCCTTTTCTTTACCAAAACATTCAATATTTGACTTTTGTCCAAACTAATTTTATTCAATATAATTCATCAATTTGCAACGCCAAAAACTTCAAGTGACTATCAATCGAACATATGGCTTTTGGAAATTTCAAGTCGACTCTGAATCGAAAGAACATTCAAGTTTCTCCAGAAAATCGATAATGAACATAAGACATAATAGCTAATGAATCAATTACAGATCAATTAGTAAAGGTATTCATCAGAGACTGAGTGATGAGTGCAATTGTATTATTAACTTATGCTCGTTATTCATGAACAGTGTAATACAATTGAAAATGTATTTTAATTGATCAATTAGACTCACTTCATTTGCCTGTAAATGTTACATTTTGTATCTAAAGTTAATTGTTTACTCATTTTGCAAGATCAAGACTTATTTTTGAGGTGAAAACAAATTTCTTGTCAACAAGGTAAACGAGTCGATAATTTAGTTTTGTTTGGTGAGGCATTTGCTTGTGTGTTAATTGAAAATGGCAACAAAATGCAATTATTAATAACTTGAATGTCTTTACATAATCTTTTAATTGACGTAACTGTGTTAAATGTTTTACTTGCAACAAACTTGTTAATCGATTGAGAGTTGCCTTTATTTCATCACTGGATCAACTGAATAAACTGTAGGAATAATCAAGGCAATGCAGTTGACGAAACACTCGCAAGAAGTTAATGTAATTAAGTTATAATAGAGTAATTTACTTACACTCCAATTTATCCTCTGGTCTACCAGCCTCAAGCAATGAGAGATAACAGACGACATCTTTGAACGGAACTCGAAGAGACAAAACATCAATACTGGAACTTCCTTTTCTTAATGGCTTAATTTCAACTGAAATTCAGACAAAAGTAATTAAGAAAAATTGTTTCAAATTAACATGAAAACAGCAATTTTTTCACCATCAAAATGGAATTATTTTACTAGATAGATTCGATCTTTTCGTACGAGCTGGGCTAAAATACAGCAATTAGACTTTAATTTATCAATTCAATGATTTCTGAAACCAGAGTCCTCATCGTATCTTTCAAAGACGAGGGCCAAAAGAATAGGGAAAAGTGCCTAGAAATATAATTTTTTAAAGTCTCGTAAAAGATTTATGCCGATTCCATTTTTCGATATGATGAATAGTTTTTGAGTTAACAGGTAAAAAATGTTGAAATGTTGAAAATGGTCTGAACCAGTTTTGAATGACAAAAGAGTTTGAATATTTTGTACATTATTATCAGTAGTAAGTAACCAGTATCGACACAAAAAGGCGGAGCTTAATTTGGGGGAGGGAATGAAAGGGGAAATCAGGGGCAAGCAACTTTCCAGATTTTGGATTTTAGATCAAAACACAAATTTTTGTGTTACAGTGATGTGCCAGATAATGGGAACAATTTTTTTCAACGGTCCCTATTGAAAAAGGCTTTGACAAAATTTTATTTAGATTTTTCCAGTTATTAATTAACTTAATTTGATTTTCTTTCGTGAAATATCAATCAAAAAACTCGAGAAGGCTGATAGCAATGATAATTCTAGACGAAATCAATCTATTAAGCAAGATTGATAATCACAGATTCGAGTGCCCGACGAATAGTGCAAATAAGCTATTTCCACCTATTCCCATTATCTGGCACATCACTGTATACAGCTGCGAAAATGGAGTTAGACCTCGATACCATATCTTTGGCACCATATCAACATCAACTTAAGACTCATTGGTCAAGGCATTGAATCGATGTTGATTGTGCTTAAATCTCAAAAAATTGACTATCGGTATGCTTGGATACCAAACAATGCGCCAAAGATATGGTATCGAGGTCTAACTCCATTTTCGCAGCTGTATGTGGACATGGTAGTGCTTAAGTTGGACAGCAAACTTACAGGTAAGTTTACCTGCCCCTGGACTCATCGCGCATACCCCTGGATTTCCCATTTAACCCCTCCACCCAAATTAAGCTCCGCCTTTTTGTGTCGATACTCCTTACTTACTACTATTGTCCTCTATCCAAAAAATGTATCAGTGCATTTCTATCATCGGGACGATCGCAGCAGGCAGCATATCGATTTGATCCGCCGAACCACGTCGGTATCAATAGATCTAGTGAGCTTAATACGACGATCGATATTTTTGACCTTCTCTAGACATCCGGATATTCTTAAATTCACTAATCACTTATCAACTGAAATTTTATCCATCAATAAAATTGTAAAATCACCGGATTCTTTGGAAAGAATCCCTCCCATAATAATACACCTGTTGATATCAATATGCTGATATATTTTTCAGGTAAAGTACCGGGCATTTCTTTTTCATTTACGCCTATTTACAGCCATTACTCACGAACGGTTGATGCTCAGACTTGAACCAAGAACTTTCGCAGATTGAATATGCATAAGTTTGAACGCTCGAGGTCATTCAAGCTCAATCCGTTATTTAACCTCTAATTCACATTTGGAGGTCATTTTCTGAGAGTACAAAATTTTTTAGATTAATAAATAATAGTTTAAAACATTGTTCAAATAAATATCGATTTTACATATTTTGGGTGTCCCTCGTGAGGTCTGTAGCATCAACCGTTCGTGAGCTATGTGTGCAAATAGGAAATAGTAAAATGAAAAAGAAATGCTCAGTATAGTCAATTATGTTTAATAAAGACAAAACACTTTGTCATTCAAAACTGGTTGTGGCCATTTTCAACATTTCAACATTTTTAACCTGATAACTCAGAAACTATTCATCAATTAAAACATTTAGTTCTATTTTTAGGCAGATTTGGTCTTAATCCTTCGAACGAATCGTTAACCCATGCACGACGAAAATTCGTTGGAAATAGAGCATGTAAAACCATTTCATATGGAACCAAGGTCAATCGTCGAAATAGTCCGCATGATTTCTTCTTGCTCAATACTGTTCGGAATTCAACTTGTCCATCACTTTTACCTGAGTATTGACATTATGCTTACTCCAAAATGTTATCTTCAGATAAGCTTCTGGTTAGTTATTCAATAGAGCCAATTATTATAATCTGATTTTAACGCTGAAGTGAAATTTAATGCAATAACATTACCATGACAAACCTTAAATTAAACCATAATCTTCTAAATACTTTTTTTAGCATACAACGAATCTTTCAAATTTCATTGAATTGAAAAAAATGAATTACAAGGGGGGCTATTGAAACGCTCGAGCCACTTTTGCTTGAGTGAGGTGTCATTTCATAGAGGAAGATGAATTATGAAAAACTGTCGAGGCTTTTATCTGCTAGCCTAGTGGTTCCTAAGATATTCGGGTATTTTGGGCATTTTTATTAAATCAGATTTAAAATCATTAAAAATATGAGTTGAAGGGTAGCTCAGTGATTAAAGGTGTTAGGGCAACTAAAAGGGTTTATCAAGGTTTTGGGTTCGAGACTCATTCATTTTATGATTTTTCATTTTCTTGATCGAATTATTCATTTTAATCATTTTTTTTGTGAAAAATTTCGGATGAACTAACCAATCAACATTATCAAAAAAGCTTAACAAAATATACATGAAAAGGTGTTAACTTTTAGAAAATTATATTTGAACAAATTGTGATCATTATTAAATTTTAACTGAAAACTTAACATTTCTATTCAGATTTTCTTTTTCTTGAAACTCTATGTCTTTAGCTTCGGCCCAGGCCTATCATTCCGGCGTATCCCTGCTGAAACTGACTTTACATTGGAAATTATTAGCGTCAACATCGGAATAACACAAAGAACATGCTTGGATGGAAACAATCAAAATTGGTTAATAAACGTTGCCAAATTCATTTAGATGATCAATGCAGATCAATTGAATCGCAGTTCAAATTAAACGTATAGTAGAGTAGAGGCAGCCTAAATTAACAGGCATTTCATCTCGATTGGCATCTTGCATGTACATGTGACTTGTAACTTCAACTTTATCTAAAATGGTTTTTCCCTTTGCCGTTTCCAACGAATTTTCTCAAAATGGCCTTTACATTGACTCGAAGTCGAAATGCGAGTTAATGATAAACCCGTTTCTCTCTTATGAAGAGTTGTTTCATCGAGCATATCATGACAACTGTTACATGTTTTGATGAATGATGATCGTAAAAGGATAAATAGAATCTGAAAGTAAGTTCTAAGCTGCAGAAAACTAACGATTGCTCAGAAAAATAAAGTTAGAAAACAAAATTATTCCAAGACTGGTTTCCATGTTGATGGAATTTTTGATCAAAGTATTTTTGACAAATGGGTAAACAAACCTGGATGAATCAATAATGAAGTGTTTGATTTTTTCGATGAGTTACGGGACATTTGTCCATGGTTTGGTGATGAACCAGTTGACTTTTGATCACGAAATGTTTGAGTTACAGAGACAATTGGATGGATTGATGAACTCCCTGTTTCAATGAATATTAACCGGCGAGACAAGAGAAGAAAAAGATATCAACATGATTAATTGGAAACAATTAGCAAGTAAAATTAATTACATTCATCATTATCATGTTGAAAGATGTTGATTAATCAACATGAAACCCATGATATATGATGAGAAAATTGCATGCAAAAAGAAAGAAAAAGAATGATTGACAGACAAGTGCAATTATTGAGGTTGAAGGAAAGAGGCAAGAAGAAAAAAAATGTTTTTCTTTCCAGAAATTCAATAAAGAACTTCGGGCGAAGAAAAAAGAGAAAAAATAAATTGATAAAAATACATGATATTATTGTGACACTGGGACTAGAGGGAACCGATTAGGATATTTGTGCATATATTTATCTCCTTAAGTGATTCTTAATTGTGATTAATGATCTTGAGTGTGAAAAAAAAGATAAATAATGAGATTAATAATACTGTACACAATACGTAAAGCATTCAAACCGTTTCAATAGTTTAACAAGCAAACGATAATCAGTTGAGATTAAATGATATTAGATGTTAATATGATTAAAAGGTTGATGAGTGTATCTGGGTTAATAAAGCCATCAATATTAATGGCTAGTTGGGTTCAATGATTATCATGTTAAAATGTTTTCAACAAAAAGTTTCACAATCCATTTAAAGGGAGTAAAAGATATCAAATGTTTTGCCATGTAAAATGATATCTTTTTGGTAAAGTAATTGAAGCAATTTTTGAGGCAAAAAATGATCAAATGCAATTTGTGTTTGCAGACGAAATTGTCTTCTAAATATTTGCTGAAAGTGAGATTTGAAAGGGTGAAAGATGAGAAAAGATTGTGATTCTATCGATTGAACATTGTAAGTTGCTTGTTAAACTGACCAGAAACTGGTTCATGTGCAAAAAACAATGAAATATTTGTTTGCTTGTTTTTTCACAGCTCGCTAAACGTACAGGTACCCGATCGTCCTCTAGAGCCAGAGCCGCTCTCACTTTGATAATGACCGATGCTATGAAGTTTCTCTGTTAGTCCATGGAATCGTTCAACTAGGCTCGGATAATGACTCTTTTCATTGCCACCTCCATCCCCACCACCTCCCACTCCAAGTGTGTTGTTGTTTGTCTCTTTATTTTCATGGATAATCTCGATGTTTATCAAATCACGGGTAAGCTCGGGAAGGGAACCAGAAGTTGCATGAACTGTTATTGGAGCACAAGCAGCTGCTGAGGTAACGACGGCCATCTAAGGATTAAACGGCAACAAGATCAGAAAACTGTTCACATTTTTCATAAAATATTCATTAATATTTTAATCTGTGAAACCAACTCAAATTCAAGTTTTAATGCAAACTATAATTACAGAACTCAATTAAGAAAATATGAGAAAACAAATTTCTTCGCCAAAGTTCATTCATATAGCGGCTTTTGCTAAGTGACATTAAACGAACAAGCAAATACATGTATTTAAATCGTCTAAAGTCATGAACATTTGCAAATCATTTCCAGTCGAACACCCATGAAAGCATGAAAACTCTGACCATACTTTGATGACTTCAAAAAAATGATCTCAAAATTTTTCTTCATCTGCAAAGCAATGCTTATTGGAAATTAAATTTTACTCGATTTTTAATTTCAATCATTTCTAATTATGCTGGATTATTTTGCATTTGTAAAAATATTGAATCAGTGTTGGGAATTTGTCGAGATCGAAAAAGATGAGAAAATGAAGTTTCGATGAAATGACAATCTAAAATAACCAGTTACGCACTTTCCTGGCTGAAAAGTGTAAACAAGAGTTGAAAAATTTTCACCAAAATTTGTCTGAATTTCATTGTTGAGATTTGAAATTTTTGTTGGAACAGCAAAATTGGTGAACTAGAAAAGTGTTTAAATGAAACTTGAATTTTCATCAACTGCAATCATCATGAAATGATAAAATGAATGTAAGCAGAAATTAATTTACGTTTCTGTTGATTATCTGCTGATTGAGATAAAGAATCATCTTTTTTCCTGGAAACTTGATTCACAATAAAATATTTGTAAACACAAGAAACTTTCTCAACTTATCAAACTTGCTTTTATTTTCCGTTGAGAGAAGGTAAAAAATAACTTGAAATTTTGAATATCAAGCATTTTTCCATTTTCCTTCCCTGTTATTTATTCTTGCTCCATTGTTGTTCAACATCTCCATCATGTATGATATTAGTTTACTCCTTTTTTCCTACTTTTCTTCTTCTCTTTCATTTCCACATCTTCCAGCTATCACATTATTTCCTCATCTAATCTTAAACACATTTTATCAGCAGTTTATCTCATGAGTTTCCATCTCAAGTTTTCACTTTTCCAATGTTCCTTTGTTTGTTGTTTGAAAAGTTCAAACAATTTTACCATTTCTATTTGTATGAAGGTTTCAACTTGGAAGGTAAAAAAAATAGAGTAAACTTTAAGTCTTTCCTTTCCTCACCCCTTTATACATGATTAACAATTGAACAAGAAAAGGAAATTCTGACAAATCACTCAACCTGAACATTAGTTGAAATGATAACAAATAACAGGCAAAATAGCAAACACAAAAAGAGTTGTCGGAAAGAGAAACTTTTCATTTCAAGAGATTCACATTTTGCACAATTTGTCAATTGCGAATGTAACTTTAATTGTAGAAGATTAGAAGAAAGTTTCAGCAACAGTTGATTCGAAAAAAGATTAAATAGCAACTCAAAATTTCTAAGGTCAATAGTTTTCGCAATCAACTTTTCTCAGATTCGTTAAGTCTTTGCATAAAGTTAATGAGTTTCCAACTCGAGTCTATTTGCTTTTATTATTAATATTTCAAGTGTAACCTTTGCAAACAAAAGTAATTTTGCTGAAAACTTAACCTAAAGACTTAACAGAAAAGGTTGATATTATGCGCTCAAGTGAGAGCAAACGGTCGAGATGAAACTTTTTCTGTGACCTCAGGCAGATGCAATCTTTTGCCATGAAAATGGTTAGTAGATTTCAAGCCTTTCTGAAAGTTCCATGTGAATATGTTGGTTCATTTAGAAGCTAGGGCTTGTCGACTAAAATAAGGCCGTAAACAAGTTAATGAACTGTGAGCCACTTGAAAAAAGATTTTCTGGAGAAGCCATTCGATAAACTAAGAACTATATTTAAACAAAATTTCAGAACTCAATCATGGCTGGTTCGAGAAGCCATCAAAAATGGTTTCAACTTTAGCGCAATCGGACCAAACGCGACATTCTACGGAACTCTTAAAAGACCTAAAAAATCGGTTCCTTCTTTCATGAAATAAAGTTAGCTTTCAATTCGACGCGGGTGGACTTTTAGTGGCCAACATTTCTTTTAGCAAGATGAAACAATTTCTTTTGATTTTTCTCATGAAACTCATAAAGATGTGAGTTCTGTTGAGGATTTGCAAAAAATGACTTTTTCCTGACCAAAGCCAAAAGCAAAATTATAAAAAAACCAAATCCTGAAAATTTAAGCAAATTTAAACGTTTTTACTTATTCTGGTTGAATTATTAATTCACATTATTGCAGAATCTTGATTGTGTTTCAATATTTATTAGTAAAATATTAAATGTCGGTGAAAGTGAAACCTCTGACTAAATTGGTTGGATCAATGAGAGGAAAAAAATTTCATCAAATTGATTGAATAATAAATTTGGTTTCACATTGAGACTAAATTCCCTTGTAACGATGGAATAAATTGTCCATCAATTGCATTTTTAATGGTGTTTTTGGGTGAACATTTACTTACTCGGGCAAGTTTGCATTCCGGATAACATGTTTGTCCTGTTGATTTAGAGTTATTGATCAGGATGTTTGTATTGAGATTTATATTGGCAGATTGATTGGCGACTAAATTTTTCTTAACAAACGATAGGAACAATCTTTTAACCAAATCGATTGGAGTATCAGTTTCCAGGTAAATATCGACAAATTTTTGAAATCCTTCTAAATCAATGTCCTTTTGGTATATTTTCAGGTTGCCATTTGAGGAAAAAAAAGTTGACAAAAAATAGAAAAGAAAAAGTTTAACATTTTGACTTTTAAAACAAAGACATTAACGAGAAGAAGGTGAAAGGGTTAAAAGGTATTATTTGTACAGACAAAGTTCAAGTTGAAGAAAAGGTGAAATTGAATTTTGCTATTTTCTTAATCAAATTGTTTACTTGTAATGAAAGTCGAAGCAAAAACAAAAACAAAAGCAACCCAAAAGATGATCAAATAAGTTGATAGTGATTTAAAGTTCGAAGATTAAATTTAGTTTTTTTTCTGATCAAATTTCGGCTCTTTGTGATTTCTTGCCTATCCTTTTTCACTTCCTTGACTGGTCAACATTACTGGTTGACCAACAAGAAACAGCAAGAAAAAAGGTTCTCTTGGGATTCTCATGTTCATCAAATTGCAATGAATGCTGTTATTTTTACCTTTCCATCAATGTATCCAGTCTGTATTAATTCAACATTAATACCAACTCTGTAACCCAAATAATAATGATCAGAGATAAAAGTCAATTGAGTTTCTTTGATGATCCTTTACCCAAATATAAATATATATATGTTATCAACTGAGAAACACGTTTCATTGAAACTTGCCTGTAATTCTGTGCATCTAATGTAATAACAATAGTAGCCTTATTACCATCATCTTATGCAGTTGCAAATGTTATCATTGAAAAAGTAGTCCAATTGTAATTTTTTCAGTTCACTATTGCGTTAATCAGGGCAACAAGTTATGCATTTACTGTTATTTATACGCTTTTATAACTAGATTTACTTTTAGTTTTCAAGATAAAATGGAAATAAAAGTTTGTCTGTTAAATAAATTTGTCTTTCACTCCATTTCGAATGCAAACTTTATGTACAGAACCATTCAGCTAATAATATGGTAAACTCGAATAGCTTCGTAACTAGAAGAGTTATCAAATCAGAAATCGGGTGACATTTATTTTTCCTATTGAAGTGTCTCTATTCAAAATCACTTCGTTATTCGACTTCCGATCAGCATTTCAAGATCATTATTTTATTAACCGATTACTGTGGTTGAAACAGTTCTGTTATTTTTGCAACAGTGAGTGTTATTAAATCATCTTGAATACTGAATCAGAAAAGTTTTCCTCCAAATTCAATATTAAGAGGTATGGATTCTGCATGTAAATGTAAAAGTACTAGTTCTGAGTATATTTCAGATCTTGGGTCTGGTTTTGGGTTGGTAATGATTACATTTGTCCAGATTATAGATCAGTGAATGAGTCCCGAAGTTGCTCAAAGATGAATGTTTGGATTATTTTCATTTCAACATCATGCTAATCATGACCAGGATTGAACATTGAAAAAAACAATGAGTAAACAATCTCGCCCAAAAGCTGCTCAAAGTATGATAAAATTTAAATGAAGTCGATCGAAATTTAACCGACAAAACTCGAGATGTTTTGGGAAAAGCATGAAATAGCAAAACAAAATTTCTTCAAACAATAAAACAGAGGTTGAAGTGGAAAGTTGAAAAGTGGTCAATCCATTGAGATAAAAGATTTTCTGTTCTGTTCAAGAAAAAGTTGATACATTTGTCTATCTGTTCATTTGTCTGTTTTTTAAAATTCATGCCCAACAGGCAAACTGATTCTTCTGTTTTGCTTTGTTATGAATTTCAAGCAATTTAATCCAAATGATCGAATAAATGGTCAAAGATCGATTACCAGAGCATTACCTTGACGAGCTTAAAATAGTTTTTTGACATTCATGAGGAATTGCCATCTCATTGAAAAGCCAAAAGTTCATGAAAATTTTCATCTAAATAATTGAAAGTTTCATTCAGGAAAAACAAATTTCTATCAAATAACTGAATGCAAGTTGATTGAATTTTACTTTGAATTTCGTTCTAAACAAAAACAAAATAAGCTAAAACTCGAGGTAACAAAAGACAGAATATCTATGATAATCTTAGGAATTTCAGTTTCATGTATTCGTACAAATGGCAAAGAATCACAAGAAGTATATTGAACAAATGAAATGTTACATTCATTGCAAGTCCTAATGTCGAGGAAAAAAAGCATTACTTGAACCCATCGACTGGTCAACTCTTTTGACTACACAATAACATCACTTTTGAAGGCAGCAATTCTGAAGGTTCATTAGATTCAAGGTGAAAGCCTGACCACAAGAAAATTAGTTTGTCAAGATTAATGGCAACCAGGCCATTTGAAAGGCTTGGAATGATGGGCTAATTTGCGAAGAAAAAATTAGCGCAAATATATTGGACGATTAAAGTTGATGAGATTACAAGGCGAAGGTTGAAAATCAGAAAAGCAAAACTCAATTGAATAAGTAAAGGTGATGAAATAGAAGTGATAATAATAATAATGATCATCTTCATGATGGTGAATGGTGTTGATGGTGATAATGATGATGAGATGAAGATAATTTGTTCCATGAGGAGAGAAGAAGAAAAAAAAGGAAAAGAGAGAAAAAAATGTCATCGATTGTAATGCTAATGTTCACACTGTTCGATGCCAGTCAGGGTTGTGTACAATTGGATTCAACATTATCTCAATAACAACAATTCAATTTCATTATCGTCACTCGTTTCAACCACTTTCTTGAAGACGAAATGAAATGATCCTTACCTCTTCTGGATTATATTTTGACAATGATCCTCCCTCTTTAAACTCGGTTACCATCACATCACTTAACTTTTTGGAAGTATCTGGAAGAAGATGAAGAATGAACAAATAAGGAAAAGTGATTATCATTATCAGAATAAAAGCGATTATTATCAAAATATATGTAATAATTTTAAGGCCATTTAATAACATTTATTAATAATAACATTTTGTGGACAATAATTTCCATTTAAATTAACTAAAATTTAGTTAAACTAATAATTAAATAAGCACTAGTCCAATTGACCAAGCACTAGTTCCAGACATTTTCAAGTTACCACTTTGGAGTCATAATTTCAACTCTCCTCAATAATCCTTTAGTTAAAACAAAGTATTTGTTTTGCCCTTCTGACCATTGTTAAGAATGAGAAATAAGACAGGGGAATAGACAGAATAAAGAAAGAGGAGAATAATTTGGACCATTTCTCTTTCTCAATTTAAACACTTAATTTTTGAATATTACATCCCCCCACTTTAGGTCAGAAGTACCATTTCCATTTCCACGATTAGTGGAACCACAATTTTAGTATTCAATAATAATTCAATTGATGAATGGTCCAGGTTCATCTGTCCAGCAAATACTAAAATAAGAATTTTAAATAATTTAATAAAATGTCAATAATAATTTAATGGACACAATTGTCCGATGGGTAACTTGTCCAGATTCAATTTTGTCCACTTTTAATTATTTTTCAAACATATAGCAATAGAAATTTATGGCCACATTTCAATTGGTAACTTGTCCAGTTTCATTTCCATGATTGGAATTAATAATAATTTTAATATTCAATAATATGAATTGAATGGATGATGTGGGTGAGCCAGCCCAGATTTCATCCTGTCGACTTGTAATAATTTTAAGGCCATTTAATAACATTTATTAATAATAACATTTTGTGGACAATAATTTCCATTTAAATTAACTAAAATTTAGTTAAACTAATAATTAAATAAGCACTAGTCCAATTGACCAAGCACTAGTTCCAGACATTTTCAAGTTACCACTTTGGAGTCATAATTTCAACTCTCCTCAATAATCCTTTAGTTAAAACAAAGTATTTGTTTTGCCCTTCTGACCATTGTTAAGAATGAGAAATAAGACAGGGGAATAGACAGAATAAAGAAAGAGGAGAATAATTTGGACCATTTCTCTTTCTCAATTTAAACACTTAATTTTTGAATATTACATATAATAAACTGTTTTTCTTCTTCTTCTTCCCTGTTTTGTATGAATTTCTATCAATGAATTTTTTTCCTTTCATTCCTTTTAATGGTGAGTCTTTCAATTGGTTCAAGTTGACATCGAGACTCGAGACTTTAAGCTATCATTAAAGAATCACAATTTGCACCAATAACTTTTACAGTTGATCGAGTTGATGATGATAATATGAATAGCAATTACACTAATTAATTTGCTAAAAAAAGGACCAAAAATAGTAACAGTTGTAATCTGAATAAAGGTTATCAATGAATAAGGTTAAGGTTAGCTTATGAATAACCTTTTTTTTAATCAAAGATCAAATTTTGAAGAGCAAATCTTGTTACAATTGAATTGATTTTTAAATTAATTATTTTGTAAAAAGTCGACTCAAAATTTGATTTAACGTTTCAAATGATGAAATTTAGTTTTGCTTCAATAAAAATAATGAAAAGAGTGGCAAAATTTTGATTCCAAAAATCATGAAATTCTGTATTTCAAACTGATATCTTTTGTTATACAAAACTCACTGAATTATCGAAATATTATCTTTTTGCAATTTCATTTTTTTCATTTCTCTTTGCCAATAAAAATAAAATCCCTTGATGAGTTGAAAGCATATTATTTGCACATTTTAGTATTCTTGCCTCTTCAGTTTCAAAATTACTTTTTCAACATTTCTTCAGATAATTCAGAAATAATTTCCTCTTTATCTGAACAGCTAACCTTTGATAACATTGATAAGAGAACATACAATTAGAAATTTCGTTCAATTGAGAATAATTTTCTTCTGTTTTCATCATTTAGTAAAAGTCCACTTTTGTGACAAGTATTATCGAATGAATGGCTCATCGAAAAAAATTCTGTGAAAAAAAAGTTCGATGCAAGATAATGTAAATTTCGGTATCGACTTCACATCGAAATGTGTATTTGACTATTTTAATACATTGAGCATGGATTCCCTAAAATGGCAAATATTGTTGAAACGAGATGAATTGAACAATTGATATTCAGTGAAATAACAAGAGTAAAAGTATTGAGAAAATTGAGTTTAATTCTGATCTCAAAATTTCGTTGATGAATTCTTTTCGAAAGGAAATCCTGAAATCTTTTTAGAATTTTTGTTCGTTGTGATTTGTTATGGAACATTTCTAATTATTGAAAATTTCGAACAAAGAATTGATGATTGATTGATAAATTGATTGATTAAATGAGGTTGAGTTTAGCTGCCTAAAGGTCTAGTTAAATTGATTTAGTAATTCTGATTCTATGAATTTTTCCATTACTTGGATATCGATGTGAATAATGATTAAAAAGGTGACAATTATGATGCGAATAATGATAAACTAGAAATAATAAGATTATGATTATTGATTATGATAATGATATTTTGTATCATTTTTCAAGATTCGCATTGTTTAACATGAAATTAACATTAATTCATGTCAAGTTTGCAATTTTGATGGAAAAGAAGGTAAATTTTTAATGAATGTTATAATTCAAATGTTTCATTTTAATGTAACAATTTTTAGATTCTTTTGTTATTCGTTGATATTTTATCAAAATTTACTCTCAACCAGATATACTTTGCATCTAATTGATGGCATTCAAATGAAAGAATCAAAGTTGATGATAATAAAGAAGAAAGAGAATGAAAAAACTGGTAAAATGATGAAGATGAAGATGAAGATGATAGCGAAGCATCAAGACTGAAATTGTGACAGTCTATGTTATCAACAGTCTAATTCACTCCCAGTGATGAATGATTATTTTTAGGTTAGACTTTTGTTCATCTTCCATGGAAACTCATGTACTTGTTGTATAATGGCAACATGAAATTATTGTCATTCATCAACTTTGCATCTCATTTTTTTTATTGTTACAAGGTAAATGGTAAAAGGAACAAATTTTCAAACCTTTCACCTTTTACCTGGAAAGAGAAGGAGAGAAAAATCATTTCCACCAACCTTTCCATTTTACTGTTGATTGTTTCCGTTCAATTCATGAAATAGCCTGTTATCACTTACAGAACAGAGTTTTACACTTTCTTCAATTTTGCTCTTCTTTTCACTGTTTAGTAAATATTGAATTGTATCGTTGAAACCTGAAAATATGATTGAAATGCAATCATTGAAAGAAATCTTTTTTTCTCTTCTCATTTTTTCTCTGGTTTCTCTTCATTTTTCATTCTCTCGTCATCTTTTCTCCTTGTCATCCTTTTCTTCCTAAAACTGTCTGTAAATTTACTTTGTAGTACCTTTGAGACTAGATCAAAATGAGGAAAGTTTAAAACATTAAATTGTTTTGTGTGTAACTGTTGAAACCTTTAAATGCTATATTTGCTCAGCAATTTCATTTAACAATTGATATTGGTAAAGGTTTTATGATATTTTTCTTGATAAACATTTGTCGCTCTCTGGTAATTGATAATCTTCCGTAATCTGTATCTAACAGAGTTGCCATCTTAGTGATAGAAACCAATAGAAAGGATTTTTACAAGGAAAAAACAAAATGTTGTTCAAAATGCTGGGTTGCTACGTTGGCTGAGGGTAACATTGAGTTTACCCATTTTACAAATTGCTGTGAAAACGCAAATGAAATAATGAAAATCTTTATAAGGATGACACTTTTATACCATCTTATTGACGTTATTTATCCTTTTGTAATGTTAAAGAGATATGTTAGTACATGGATAAAAAGGAAAAGAGGAAAAACTGAAAACAATTGATTCTTTCATCGTTTCTTCATTTTTTTCATCTTTTCTTGTATAACTCGGCTTTTTTCATCCAATCTTACAAGTATAAATCACTGTCTGAATGAATGGAAGACATAGAAAAGTATTGTACTGGTGATTAGGCTGATGATGAATATGATAGTGTAAACATCTTTTTTTCATGATCTTTAAGTTTCTTTATTTACTTGTGAGAATGGGTTTGCGGGACGAAAAGGGTTGATGGTAAGGAAGGTGAGCAAAGAAATGATAAAACAGAGGGAAACAAATGTCATGTAAATATAATGTTATTACATGAAGATAAGTTAAACATAAAGATTGAGGGAAAATGAAGGGAAAATGCCAATATAAACTAAAAAAGTAGCAATTGATAAGGAGGGAAGGGAAAGTAAAGAAGATGGCAAGTGTGGAAAGTATGGAAAGGAATGAACGATGAATAAAGATGGAAAAAAGTATGAAAAAATTGGGTGAAGAAAAAAAGATTGAAGAAATGATTAGGAAAAAAAGATTGGAAAAGATTGAGTGAAATGAGAAGGGTTGAATGTGTTGACTCGTTGGGTTATTTGGTTAGGTTTTAGGGAATGGAGTGACTAATCAATGTTTGATAATTGATTGAAATTGATCTTTTACTTACATTGAATGTAATCTTGAAGCATTTCAAACTCAGCAGGAGACATTTTATCCCATTTAAGGTCCATGGTTGGTGTTGTCAAAAAACGTTATCTTCTGTTTACACCATAAAATACATAGATATATACACCTTTGGTTGTCTTTATGTGTATAAAAACTGTATATAACTGGATGGCTTGTTTCACTTTCAAAGGCAATCTTTATCCAATCATCAATCCAAAAATTGGAAAATGTCAATTATCTTTTTCGATGGCAATTTGATTGTTTCTTAATTTCACTTACAATTTAAGTCACACTGGTAATAGATAGTTAAACAAGAGCTTACGGTTAAAAAAAAGGAGATCTTAAGGCTTCCAACATTTATCATCAAAAAAATAGTAAACTTGAAGACAATTTATCAAAAAGAAAGGGAGAAACTTTATGTTCGAACGATTGAGCAGCCTCCATTTTTACTTGAGACTAGCACCATCTAACGGTTCTTGCGATTTGATTGTTACAATTTAATTATTAGTTAATTCAGTGTATAAAATTCATTGTAATTGTTGCGAGTTTTCAAATGTTTCAAACCTTAAAGTCAGCTTGCTCAAGTTCATTTCTTCAACGGTCCCTAAAAGAGTCAATTTTTCATTTTTAAATCAAATAATTTTATTTTATTTTTCAGATATCAAGAGACTAACGAGATCAGTTGTCTATTAATTTTTTACCCTGAACTTGGTCTATTAAACAAGACTGAGAATCATGAAATTACGCTGTCTGACAAGCAGTGTAAATAAGCTACTCTTGGAGCTATACAGCTTGTGAGGTTAGATTGTATTTCTGAGTGAAATGATATTCCTTAAGAAACTTTTTTTCAGTAAATCAGTTCATTTTTTCAATTTCATCGCAACTTTTGTTACAATCTTTTATTTTGTACAAATGTAGGGAATACTGACAATAAATACATTCTGACAAAGATTTGTGCATCAATCAAGTGGTATGTACTTTAATTCAAACATAAGCTCTGTCTAACTAGACATGGTTTTCAAGGGATAATTTGGATGAAAATAGTCAAGGTTTTCAGTAAAACATGATATTGATCTTCTTTAACCAGAAGATTTATTGTTTGTTCTAGAGAATGAAAAAGGTGAGTAAATGTGAATTGTATGGAATAATCAAGGTGAGAAAAGAGAGAGCTGTGCAAATATAGTCAAGATGATGAGGGGTAAAAATGATGTTCGCTTAAAAAGATGTAAAATTGGAAAGATATGGAAAAGATTTTTTGTGTTATTTATCCAAAGCAAGATATGGCTGGATAGACAGCAACGATAAGACAGGAAAACTGAACAAGGGTGAAAGGTTGAATGAAAATTAAAAAACTAGGAGTTGAGTAAGTTTATTATTTTGCCATAGGTGGTGGCAGCGAATATCACAGCTTTATCTTTAACAAATCCAATGGAAGCATCCTTTATTGAGGTTTGACCACAGTTAAGAACGGACTTGCTGTTGGCTAGATCGTAAAGAACTACGCCATCATCTTTAACAAGAAGTAATTGATTTCCACTTCTTTTTATCTTGTTAAAGCTCAGTGGATTGGTTACATCGGTTTCAAAAATGTTGCAGCTCATCAATGAAGCATATCTACCAGTTTTTGGATTAAGGGCTATCACATCTATTGCACTAGATCGCGGATCTCCGATGAATAGATAAACTAATCCCTGAGAAAAATAAAGGATAAAGAAGAAAATTAAAATCGTGCTGATATATTTATCTATATGAAGAAAAAAGAATTGAAAGTATTAACTTACTTTATCGTGCATCACATCAAAGCAAATTTTATTCTCGAAGATGGATCTTTCTGCATGAATAGAGTTGATCAATGATTTATCATTCGTATTCCTGAATAGGTATGAAAAAAACAATTAGAAATCATGTATGTCATTAGAATAAGGAAAATTAGATACAAACCATATTTGAATTCTATTATCAAAGTGAGCAATAAAAGCGATATCCCAATCATCTACAGGTAATATACAGCTTGTTGTAACATTTCTTGCATTTATTGATGTCAAGTAGGTTTTACTTGATGTTGGTAGATCATATAAAAATATTTTAATTGTATTTGATGGACCAGGTATGCTGAGGACACTTTTTTCATTTGGTAGACAGGCTATATTAATGGTTGCTCGTCTCAATTGGCACTTATTGATCATTTCCGCAGAGATGAAAGTAGAAGCGAAAAATTCTCTGAGGTAAAGTTTCACATTTTTAGCTATTTTATCGAATCTTAAATGTGTAAGGGTGAGGTATTTCAATCCATCATAAATCAATCCAATCCAAATAAATTGTTTTGACTCGATAACGGAACAATTCAAGTTTGTTGGTTCCTCGTCAATTGTATGACTAACAAGGTTCCATTCAGTCGTAGAATCTGATTCTCTCCACCAAATGGATACACATTCATCTTGAATTAAAACAATATAGAGAGTTTCTAAATCACAAGAGTCAGGATATAAATATATACCACGAACCAAAGATGCTGAAGTTGAAGCAAGCCCTGGAAAAGATTTACAGGTTGAAGTATCTAAATTATTGGGTAATTCAGACGATGCAGTATCTTGATGATTATTTACATCCTTGGTATCAACCTTTTCTCCTATTGGAGTCTCACATGGTTCATCATTTGGTTGTTCATCGACTTCCATCATGTCATATTTAGGATTATAACTAAACTTTTAAAACGAAATAAAAAATCCACCAAAATATTTAACAATTTGATGAGAAATAATTAACTTTAAATGTCGACAATCAAGGCGCACAAAAAAAACATTGTTAAAACCCGGTAAAAATTTAGGTTTAGGTTGAATAGATTACACCAAATTAGATAGATGGTGACACTGTACACGAGCGCCATTTCAAAAAATTTGTAGCGCCATCTAGTAACATTTTACAGTCTCCAAGTCACGATTTTACCGAAAAGTTAGTTGAAGTTGACGATTCGATGTAAAAACATCTCTAATTTAATTCTCGTTTTTAAATGTTTCTTTTTAATTTGTTTTCCTGTTAATCAATAATATTATCATCAACAAGAGTAGTCAATTCCAATATCTCCAGATCATCTAATGAAAGAAAGATGGTCAGCTCTAAAGCAGTTGAATGTAAAGAATCACCAAAAGTGTTAGATTATTCAACCAGTAATGAAAGATTCTGCCTTTCAAAGAATCACAATTGTGCTAACAAATTGGATTTACATCGTTTTTTTAAAAATAAATTAGTGAATACTAAAGTGATTATCTATTCCATTTTAATACCAATCATCTTGACATCATCTGTTGTCCACTGTAAAGACAGTGAAATAGGTAAGTCAACCATTTCGCCTTTAATTTGGTCATTTCAGGTTCAATTTTTATTCTCAATTCTATCTTCTATTTCCAAAGACCAACACTGGTTCAATCAGTTGTCAAAGTAAATTAACCTAAAAAGAGCCAGATTCCGGTACAAAAAGACTCTTCATTTACCGAGATTGTTCTTTTTCCATTTTGAATCCATTCTTTTTTGCTTCAATATTTTTTCTTGCATGTTTGTGTTTAAACTTTTTAAAAAATCAATTAGCTGCACTCAATTTAAATTTAGATCAATTAGCCTAGAAAGATTAGCTGGAAAAAAATGAGCAACTCCAATTATAAACCCTTAAATAAACTAATTGAATCTATTGAAGCGTTACAATGAATATGCAAGTAGAATCAATACAGAAGAGTTGAATTGACAATAGAATGATCAATTGAATTGACAACAAAAAAGCGACTATTCAACGTTAAATTAAACAGACAAATTTTCATGAGAAATTTGTTTCGCCATCGGAATCAATTAGGAAGCTATCAATCAACAATAAGCTGAACATCATGAACTTAAAGGTAGCCCAATTTTATTGGTATTTTTGTACAATAGACTTGACTAATTTTTGTTAAGCTCATTGAAAATGGCCACTAGAATTGAGTTGTAGGTCAACATTTTCTCATCTTGTCTAAATCTAATTTCGTCTAATATTGTAAATTTGATTGGTAAACAGACACAAATGAAAGTTAACACCATCGACTTAACTAACAAGACTAATAACACAAATCGCCTTAGGTTGACTTTTAATGAAACTGGACAGCCTGCTCGTTCTTATCATCATCATCTTCATAATGCTAAATATAAAATTGTAATAATTCATTTTACTTTCTCTTTTTGAACCTTTAATTTAGCCTGGAGAGAGTGAGAAGATGAGAAGGAAAAAGAGGCCAAAGGTTCGATTAGGTCGAACGATGTTACGTTTAAAAGGATGCCCTAATACAAATATAAATATAAACGTGTATATAAATATAAGGTTTAGGTAACTGTTAGCGGTTCACTTGTGAATGGCATTGAGGAGGTTGTACGTCAAAGAGGATGATTAGAGGTGAAAGATGTAAAATTAAGTAGGTAAAGAGGGTGGTTAAAGGAGGGGGTGATAAGGAGGGAAGATGAAGATGAAACAGTTACCTTGATAAGTATCATAACCATTTATTTTTAGTCCATCAAAGATGAAATAGAGAGTTTGTTGATCATCTTTTTTCATCTTGTTTACAGCTTATTGTTGCTGTTTTTATTGCTAAAATGGTCAACCAATTGCCGATATATTATTACATTGAAACTGTAATCAAGTCAATTGAAAATTTTGAATATTTTTGCTTCTTTGATGATATATTTATTTTGGGTTTGGTTGTTAGTGAATGTCAGACTGAACCAGTAAAGACAGAGATTTAAATGATAATTCAAAGCCTGATTTTACCATTTGGTTAACAAATTGTGTTGACTTTGACTCATTTGTTTTCATTTTTTCGGATTCATTTGTCAAGATTGAACGATTTTACTTCTGTTTTCCAGCAAATGTTTGATCAACCGAAAGTATCTAGAATATCTTGAGAATCTGAGTTTTTTTTCCTTTATTGTTTTAAAAGTATGATTAGTGCTTGAAATTAAAGGTGTGATGTGAATACAAGCTTACAATTGTGATAATCTTGAAACAATCAATATTCATTGTTGTTAATCAAGTTGAAAGTTAGCTAATGACAAAAAAACTAAATGAAATTCACTAAACCAGTAGATTCATGTTATTTATAAATACAAGCATTACATATCTAAATAGTGTTACCTGTTCATGTTGAGCTTGTTGCTGCTGTTTATTATATTGCAAGATGAAGATGATGAACGGGAGATTTTAGCTTCTACAAAATGCTAAATATATCCGATTGAACTTGTTTACTTCAGGATTGGCCTTTTTTAACTGTACAACTGAGCACAACAAGTTATCATCTTAACGTTGATATCATTATGGCTTTACAAGTAAAAGTTGACTTCAACTTTTCACTCATCATAAGTTGAAAGCTAAAATTGGTACCATTTGATAGCGTGTGTTGCCTGAGAAAAAAGAGAAAGAAAAATCGTTCAGAGTTTCATCATGAAAAGAGAATGAAAATGACAGTTGATGATAAGAAAGCAAAGCGAAATTCGCCTTTTCTCTATCAAAATAACAGTGTAATTTAGCACCTTTAACCTATCTCGAAGCACGATAAAGTGTGATCAGTTCTAATTGTCGGATATTAGCGAAAATTATTTTTACTGGTCTAGTTTGACTCAAATTGGATGAAAAAACAAAAAAGTGCATCCATTTTGGTCCATTTTGAAAAGGCCAATTTGTATCAATTTAAGAATAAAATATATTTATATCTTTAAATTATTAATAGTTGATGAAGCTGAAATCCGAGAGGAACTTTGAAATTATCAAAAAGATTGAAAATTTGGGGAAAAATTCTGCTTGCTATTAGATCAGTGAATCTTAATTTTCATTTTTTTAATGTCGAGACATTTTTTGGTTTAGTCTGAATCTTCGTATCTTAACCCTTTCTGCTAATAATTAAGCTTGAAACATTGTTGATCTGTCTAGTTAATGAAGGGTTAAAACGAACCTGAGATTATAACGAGTGATGATTTGATGATTGTTGAAACAATCAAAATGCAACGAGAATGTAAACTTTTTTGTTTTGTTTTTATTTCTTAATATGCGGTTTGGTTTAACAATTAAGTATCATTATTGAATCATTTTGTTAACGAAGTGAAGATGGGAAAGCTGGGTATAAGTTTAAAACAATTAAATTATTTCTTTTTTTACAAATTAATTGTTCGCTTGGGAAGAAATTGTGGAATGTTGATTTCAAGATATTCCGTTCAATTTCGTTTTTGCTTTTTAAATTCATGGCTTAAAAAACTGGATAAACATCATGGAAATCAGGGAAAGATTAAAAGAAGATTCTCGGAAAACTATAAATTGTGTTTCAAATGCATTGTTTCAATAAATACGCAAAAAGCTGATAGACGAGTTTATTTTCAAAGTTGTCAGTTTGTTTTGTCTAAAAGCAGACGATCTCTCAATATCAGCCATGTTATTGTAAAATACAGAAGATATTTATGGTAAAATCAGACTTGTTTATCAAAAGCTTTACCCTTTTGCTAATACATTTATTTATTTTGTATCAGCTTTTATCATTTTCAACTTGTTAGTAACCTTTGAAAATGGTCAACATTTTAATGGCTGCTTTTCAGTGTTTTTACTTTTCCTTTGTCTATTTGAATATACAAGTGTTTGAAATATTGAAAGCGTTATTGTAACTCTTTGGTTATATTTTATGGTCTTTTTGTCAAGTATCAATTACAGTTGGACATTTTTCAAGTTCAATCACCTTTCACCATCTTCTCTATTATTGGTTTACAACTTGTGGGACCAAATTGAATGGAAAAACGCCAATGTTTACTTTGTATTTTTTAGTGAATTTTACTAATATTTTTCTCTATCTTTTTGTGCCTCCAATTTACAGGTGATCTAGATCTGAGTGAAACTCCACTCGAATCTTTGATTCTCAATCTTGCTTAATAGATTGATTTCGCATAAAATTATCATTGCTATCTGCCCTCTTTAGTTTTTTGATTGATATTTCACGAAAGAAAATCAAATTAAGTTAATTAATAACTGAAAAATTCTAAATAAAATTTAGTCAAATTCAATATGTAATGGTTTACAACTTGGACCAAATTGAATTGAAAAACACCAATGTTTACTTTGTATTTTTTAGTGAATTTTACTAATATTTTTCTCTATCTTTTTGTGTCTCCAATTTACAGGTGATCTAGATCTGAGTGAAACTCCACAAGAACCAATCCTAGTTTTACCTGGTGATGATGCTTTCATTGATTGTACCATTCGAGATTCAGCTAACCACACGGTTGTCTGGAAATACGCTAATGGAATAGACGACCTTGAATCAGCTCGTACTATTACTGCGGATAAAGTACGAATCACAGAGGATCCAAGGTTTTCCATTCTTCATCGTACAGGACATCAAACCTGGATACTCAAAATTCGTGAAGCCATTCCTTCTGATTCAGGGGTATACCTGTGTCAAGTCAATTCTGACCCACCCATTTCTGTTTCACGTTTCTTAACCGTCACTTATCCTGAAGCGGGTAACCCTTTATCTCATGCATCACCATTTGTTACCTTATCTGGGCACAATTTCACTGATTGTTGTAGATCAGAAAATGTCGCTGACATCTGTTTACCATTTTGTAACATTAAAAATCTTGTGGGACAAACGCCTTCTCCAGCTGCAGCAGTCACATGTATTCAATATATGACACCAATGGTTAGATGTTTAGCTGATGGACGTAATCATTTACCATGTTGTATGAGACAGAATGTACCTGAAGTTTGTCTTCCGTCTTGCTCTGGAAATTATAATCTAACTCGCGTTGTTGACAACATTGTGTGCCTTCAATATGCAGCACCTATTTTATCGTGCATCTCTCAAGGAATTGAAACACTTCCCCCACAACCTATTGCTGTTACCATTGAACCTGTATCATCAACATCACTCAGGGTCAAGTGGAATTTACCTATTCAAAGAGCTGGATCAACAGAGCGATCTCCGTCAGATACAATTCAAATAAATGTTACCAAAGGTGTTTCATTCAATTCTTTGGGTAAACCAATTTCAGGGGAAGATTTATCATCAAATGTAAAAAATTCAACGGACGTTAAATCAATTAAAGTAGATGCTACTTTAAATTCGTTTACTTTAACGGAGCTGAAACCGTTTACCTTGTATCAAGTAGTATTAACCGCGCATAATAAGTTTGGATCCAGTCAACCAACTCCAATGGTACAATCATTAACTGCACCAGAACCTATTCCAGAAAAAAGTATAATCAAGTCAAAATTAACGTCCTCTTCATCAGTACCTGATAACTCTTCGGGAAAATCAGTTAAATTACCCGACTTGAGAAAGTGCTGTAAGGATAATGGAATGAAGAGTGAAGCGTGTATTGATGCTCTTTGTGATCCTACTCAAGAATATAATGTTTCACGAATAATGAGCTGCTCTCATTTCGCCAATGTAACGTTTAAATGCATGTCACTTTCATCAGGTGATCAATCTGAATGTTGTCGACTTCGTGGAGTTTCAACCTTTTGTCAATCTTTGTGTAAATCATCTTCTGTTATTAGCCTTCGACACACCGTCTGTTTCCATCATTTCCCTGCCTTTTTAAATTGTTATGTTGAACGTTTCGGAGTCTTACCCAGTCCACCCATGGATCTAGTGGTTTCTTCGGTTCATCATCGCTGGGCTTTAATTGATTGGAAGCAACCAATGAAGCGAGGTTCAACCGTCACTAGATATATTGTTCATTGGCGTGATATGGAATCAGTTGAACCGCTTAAAACTGAAACAGTGACCAACCCACCTTACCTTCTTGATGATCTTAGACCTGGTGTCCAGTATGAAATATATGTTACAGCACTCAACAAATACGGAGCATCTCAGGACTCTGTTCGAATCGATTTCCGTACTCAACCATTACCTTCAAGCGCACTTATTGATGCTTCGATGGCTTCAGCCAAAATGATCTACAATGAAACTGCTTGTTGTGCTCGTGCCAATATTAGTGCCCTTTGCTTGCCCCTTTGTTCCTATTCAGTAAAAGTGAATGAGATTCTAGGCTTAGGGCCATTATGTGTGGATGCCGCAACAGCTTCAATTATTGTCCGATGTACAGTTGGTGGTCGAGACCATAAACCTTGTTGTGAAAGACGCGGTGTATCACCTGAATGTCATGGCCTTTGCAATGGTCTCATTGATGGAACTCCTTTCCAGGTTGGAACACGCTGTGGACCTGAAGGTCCAAATATATTACTATGTGTTAAGGAAGGTGCCGAAACATTACCTGGTCAACCTTGGGATTTACATGCCTTTAAAGCTACACAAGACTCAATTTACCTCCGTTGGAAAACTTCTGATGAAGATTTAGCGAGAGGACCGGACTCAGTTAATTTCACCGTTCGTTATAGTCCTGTGAGTAGTGACAGAGTTCCACTCCACCCATTGAAACATGCATTCCAAGTGAATACGAGCTCGACCGAGATGGTTCTTGAAAATTTAAATGCCTCTACGACTTATAGCATTTATGTGCAATCAATAAACTCATTTGGAACTTCATTACCTTCTTTCATATTATTGGTTACTACTACATCATTAGAAAGTGAAATCAGTGAAGGTCGAATGGCAGCAACTATTGGTCCTCCTCATGCACTCGAAGTTATCCATCAAACTCATGAAATGATTAGCTTACGTTGGCTTCCACCATTATACATTTCACCAGATGCAACAGTCAATTACGTAGTTAACTTTAAACCAGTCACCGATACCGAGTGGACTAAAATTGAAGTCAATTTTAATTCAGCTGATTTAGCTGGTCTATTACCTGATACAAAATATGCCATTGCTGTTCAAGCATCAACTGAAAATGGCTACAAAAGTCATCTTTCAGAGACTATTCTAGTCTTTACAGATCCTATTCTTCCTGTTACGGTTGATCCACCTGTTTTACTTCCCACTGGACCCATAACTGAAGGTGATAATGTAACAATACTCTGTGTGGGACGAGGTTTACCTCCTCCGGTCATCTCTATTCTCTTAAATGGTCAAGTTGCCTACAAAACAATGGCGGAAAAGGTTTATTATACCATACCAAGTATGCCTCGTAATATCACATCAATTGGATGTTATGCTGCCAATGGTGTTTCTGTAGTAGGCTCGTCAGACGCACATAAATCAATTCTTGTTCGTATTAAATGTAAGCTATCAGCGTGAAATAAGCATATCTTTTTTGACTAGAAAGCTCATTCTTTCATTTAATACCTTTTTCGTTCATTTTAGCTACACCAACTGCCAGCATCAAAGAAGAGTTTCTTCGCTCAATGAAATTTGCCGAAGTTAGGATTTCGTGTCGTGTTTCTGGCGATCCAAAACCTAATGTAACCTGGTATAAGGATGGCGATGATCAAATTATGCTTAATCCTGGCCCTGAAGTTGCCATTAGAATGATGGACGATGTCATGGTAAATTCAGCATCTAAATGTTAAAACAATACATTTTCTCATAAAACCTTTTACTTTTTTTGTTCATTAACTTATACAGTTGGCTGGAAGCTTTTATTCAATATTGATACTGCGAAAAGTCGCTCAAATGGACACTGGTAGATACATCTGTAAAGCTACCAATGAGCTTGGTGTGGCTTCTGATTCAGTTGAAATGCAAGTCGTCATGGAAAAGGTTGAACGAAGCGATGCAGCAGCTTGTTGTGCGCGTAGTGGCGTGCCTGATGAATGTCTAGGAGCTTGTACTTCAAGAGGAATTGATATTTACTATGCTTTCCATAAACATCAATGTCTTAATTCACTTGGACTGTTAATTTTGTGTGCTAGAGGTGAGTATCAGTAGGTCAAAAATACGCATTCAAAAACTAGTTAACGTTTTTTGAATAAATTTAATACAAAGTTGTCTGATAATCAATGCACCCAAATTATAAAAAATAGCCAAAAAGTATGAATTAATATAACTGTCGGTGCTATTCAACTTCATTTTATCGAGACAATCAGTCATGACTTTCGATATCCATTCTTGATTATTTTTAAGACTTTCCATCAATCTACTTGCATCTTAATCGAGACTCCATTTTTTATGTTACATGATTGAATTTTAATTATTTGTTTTCAATTGATTATTCAATCTTGTAACAGCCTTTTAGTATCATGTAAGAAATGTAAAACACCATCAAATCAAGTCCATTAAGTTTGAGTCAAGATAATAAAGTTGACGACAAAAATTATTTTGATCACTAAAAATAGGTTAACTCACCTCGATTCATCAATGTCATGGTTTGAATCAATGATTGAAGGAAAGCTACAATTAAAAAATAGCATCTAGCTAATAATAGCTAAAATTTTAATGTTAAAGTGAAGGTGGTTATGGTTAGAGTGTTTCAATGAGGGTGTGGGTCAACCTAATGTCATGTTGATCATCACTTTTTATTAAGGTTAATCTGATATGATTTGATTTGTCCACTAATAAGATTTTTAATAGCATTTTCTTTTGCGAATTAACTTCAATCACTTTAATGACGCTTATCTAATAAACATCTTTTCATTTATTTCTATCCTTTCATAGATGGTTATGACCATACCCAATGTTGCCAACAACTCGGAGTCCATCAAAATTGCTTACATTTCTGTGAAGGAGTTCCCAATCCACGATCAAAGGAATCATTTTGCTTACTTTATGATGCCAAATTGATTGTCCATTGTATAACAAGTACCAATGGAAGTTCAGTTCCACTTCCAAGTGAAACAAATGGCCTTTCTGAAGATTATGAATTTTACTTCCAACATCCAGAACAATATTATCATACATCGACTTCAGCTGTTGTCTTGCCTTTGCTAATTGCTGTTCTGTTTCTTTCCATGGTTACTATTGTTGTTGGAGTCATGATTTATGGTTATAGACGTTATTTCAAAACTCGGATAACTTCTGGAGAAGATGTTGTTGGTTTTGAAAACCAAAGCTATTTACGAGACAATGATTCAGTTGATTTGGGTAATCCATTTCAACGAGTCAATAGACTCAATAGTCAAAATGCTCGGGCTACAACAACATGAATATAATTAAAGTATTATAATTTTTTATTGAAAACAGTGATAAATGTGTTAGCTATTAATGACAGTAGACCAACTCTTTTGTATAATATATTTGTGATTCATCTGCAAATCAAATTTTTACATTAGCAGTTGATTATTTTTTAAACAAAGTCTATACTTTAATACATACAACCCATAAATAATTAGTGAGTAGCTCGTAATTGTTGTTCACTAATGTAATTGTGCTGAGAAGTGTATTTTAATGTTCCATTCATGTTTCATTTTCATTCTCAAATTCATACTCTCTTCCAACACAATTATGTTGTAAAAAATGATGAATATTTCGTATAATTTATTGTAAATTTGGGTGTGATTACATGTTTTTTATATAAAAAGACAAAAAGTATGTAATTTCTTTTCGTCTAATAAAACCAACTCTGATACATCTGTTTATAAAATCAAGCATTCTAACAAGAATAATCTTCTGGTTATAAAAATATTTTTAACATGCAAGGTTAATCTATTAAAATATAGCTCAGATTTTTCAAATTAGAATCAGTTGATAAACTAAAAACAATATCTATGGCTGGTTCAGGCTTCAATTTCAGATCTCGGCAGTGAATTGACATCTTGGTTATCGATGCGGCAGTAACTCTTGGTAGTCTGATCAATCCAGTCGAGATAAGAAGTAACTCTGGTAAATACGGTTGGAGAAGAGCCTGCACATGAGCTACCAAACGACACAACACCGACTAAATACATTGTTCCTGGCCCATTAACAACCATTAAAGGTCCTCCTGAGTCACCAAAACATGGACTTGACTGAGAAGCTTGAGCACAAATATGAGATTGGTATGATAATAAACCGATCCATGAAAGTGAACATCTCAGATAGTTAACATGGTCCATCCGTACTTCCAAAGGAACCTCAGTTGATTTGTGTTCTTTTTCATCAGTCACTCCCCAACCAGCGACAAACAATTCATTTGACGTAAAATAAATGTTACGAGATGTTAGACAGGCTGGTTTAGCTTCTTTGTTGAACCTGTCGATCGGTTCGGCTAACTGAATCAATGCTATATCATTACGAACAATAGGAGTTGTAGTATAGCCAGGATGTTTAATGAATTGAGCCACTTTATAGTGTTTACCAGAATTTGTTATATTATGAGCACCAACTGATACAGACAAGCGGGTTAGATTCATGTAGCCACAATGAGCGGCTGTTACAATCCATTGCTCATTAATCAATGATCCGCCACAAGTATGGACGTATCTAACAAGGAAAGGCAAATAAATTGTGAATCGATGTAATTATTGGACAATTTTTAGCAACTTACTTTCCATTTGACCTTTCAACTTGTAAAGACACTAACCAAGGGTATTTGTTGGTCACATATTGGGTTCCATTGACGATTTTGAGATTATCTCCACCAGAATTCACCTTACAATTGCAGTCAGTTTCTTTGAGGCTGCATAAAGATAAACAGACTAGAGTTGATAGAATTAAAAACTTGAAGAAAATGCTGTTATTGAATAACATTGTTGAAGAAACATCCATTTGGTTTGATCAGTGGGAAACAGTTTTCAATCTTTTTCGATATTCCTTAAAGCTCTTGTATCTATGGTCAACTTCAAGTATATGGTATCTAATTGTGATGGACCTTTAATGTACCTCAAAGAAGAACAAAAACAAACAAAGTTTTTACGGATGCTTAACGCACTTGAGATACAACTTGGTACAGGTCAGAACAGGTCAAACTAGAGCTAAATATAAACTCACCATTGTTAAATTTTAATTAGCTGAAATATAATAAAAGAGATAACGATTTAAAACTTGAAAATAATATTATTGATAAATCAGTTGAGCTGGTATAAACACTACTAAGCAAACCTCTCATCTCAATTGCCTTTTGTACACAACATTGACTAAAATTGGTCAATGTTACAATTTATTGATTTAGTTCAATGATGTGACAAAATCATCATTTCTCAATGTGAAACAGATAATTAATAAATCTAAACAATGTAACACATTTTATCACAATTAATACATATTTATGGAACTGAAACAGTTAGACCAGTAAACCAGATCTGATCAAAAAATTGGTTGGTTTGAATGCACAAGATGCGATCAAAATACCAAAATTTCTTTAATATTGTTGTTATTAAATTATCATTATCAATCTCTAGACGTTTGTTCAACAAAACCTTTGTAAATAAATTCATGAAAAATAATAATGAAAAAACTGATTGGAATTTGCCGATAAATGCTGAACAATTTTCATTTTGAATGAAAAAATCGAGGAAAGGATTTATTTCGTTGCCTGATTTCAATGTCATCTCGATAAATAAAAGTGAAAAATGAATATTGTCAGCATATCTAATCTAGAGTCATGTTTATTGAATATAACTAATGAATAAAAAATCAGTTACTAGCTAATTGCTGTTACTGGATCAGTTGATTCAAAAGATCGTGATCAACTAAATAAACAAGAAAATAGTTCAACAGATTTTCTTGAATAATTTATCCTTTTCTGTAGTCACCTGTTAGCAATCGTTTCATTGTTTACCAATTGAAGTATTCTTGGTCCATCCATTATTTGATCAAGTTTCAATCTCATATTTTAATAAACGATTTTCCAAATTTCTGGTTTTTAGTTCATGGAATTACTAAATCATAATTTTAACAAAATCTCAACATTTTCATTTTATTTTCAATCCTTGCATGAGAATCTTAATTCATCTTAAAGAATCAAGTATGAATCAATCGAAAAGTCTCTGTAAGTAACAACTCAAAGAAAAATTCAATTTAAACAAGAGTCTTGTAAATCAGTTTAACCTTGATTTACCAATCAATTGAATGTCAAAATAAACATCAGCTGCAGTTTCATGATAAAACTAAATTAAACAGACATAATTTTTCAAAATTTTCAAGATTATAAAAAGAGAATATTAAAGAGTTTCAATAAAAATGGATCGATCATTTGAAGTTGCTTCGTTTGATTTTGTATTCTTTCATTTTCCTCTTGCATGATTCCAAGTTATTAATAGCTGTTTAGTTTCCAGTTTTTGAAGAATGATTTCGGATCGAAACTTGATAGATGAACGATTTCTTTGTGTAAAGACATTCACAGGAGTGGAAACTCGGAAATTGCAATAAATCAGGCGAATTAAGAACATTGGTGCTCATTGATGTTACTTCGACTCCATCGGATAAAGTCCATCCGTCTCGAAATCATCTTCAATCTCGTTCAGACGTCATCTTTTCAGGGCATGGCTAGAAAGCATATCCAATCATAAGCCAGTTTGATTATGAAACAGCGCTGAATAAGTAATTAAAGTTGCGCTTATTATTGTTAATACATTGGTAATTGAATTAAGAAAGTTGGTGAACAATCGTGATGAATAAAAAGATGATAAGTTCAACAGATTTTTCAGTGAGAAACTCTTTCAGATTGTGTTGTAATCACCTGTTTTAAATCATATCGTTGTTTTTCATGACTGTGAGTACATCAAAATATCACCTCCTTGGTTTTTACATTTGACCACCAATTTTTCATTACAAAAAAGTTCCACATATAAATTCAGGATATAAGCTCATTTAAATGTTGTGAGGTTGTTATTTTTAGATCAAAATTGTCAAATGTTGTTTACTGAATGCAATGTTCCCATGATTTTGATTCCATTGTTCTTGGTAATTGATTTTGTAATTGATGACCCATTTTGAATTTTTTTGCTGATCAAACATGACTATATAACCGGATAAGTTATATTTCCAATCGTGTCAATAACACAGCTTGTCAACCAATAGATGCCCAGCAATGTCAATCAGGTAAAGGATATTCCGATTTTTTTCGTTTTTCCCAGTTTATGATTAGATATGTAACAGGATATGATTGACGATGTCATTAGAGTTGTCTTCAATTATATCGCAAGGATATTCAATCAATTAGTGGCCAAGATAAATGCCATGTCTTTTCACCAGTTTTGAATCCATGAGTCCGTTGTTAAAGCTATTAACACATGCCTCTCAGTAGCTTAAATAGTTAGGAATTAGCACCAATTAATTTGGATCAACTTACAACTGTTAAATTGGTAATAGCCATTATGTACTTGATGAAGATTTACAGAAATAGACTAATGTCAACATAACGAAAATAATAATTTGATTCCAGTCATAAGATCATTGCGAGGGAAAGATTGTGTTCAAAACCATTTCAAAAAAACTAGACTGATGGTTCAAATTGAACATGATTAATCAATATTTAACTTGCTATTGTAAACAATTAGCTAAAAATATAAATGAGGCAAAGTTTAAATTTGCAAATTTTCAATTTTTTCAACATATGATTAAGCTTTGATTGGAAAGAATGGGAAAGATAAGTGTTACAATTAGAGTTAACTCCTCCTTAACCGTTAACTTGCCGATAAGATTGATTATGATGCCATCTTGCGGTTTCATAGTCCTGTTGTTATTGAAATGGCAACAATTTTTTTCTCTAACCAAATTAAAATTCAACACTCATTATTTGGTTATAGATAATATTATTAATCAATTGTATTGTGATTTTTATAATTTTAATTTTCCATCGGTTTACCGTTCAATTTTTCGTCTTCTAATTTATTCCATTCAATCAAATCATTCATGGGAAGATTGAATGGTAAGAAAGATGTGAGGATCTTGCTTGTTGGTGATCCTGGTGTGGGTAAAACCTCTCTGATTTTTTCACTGGTTAGTGAAGAGTTTTCTGAAGAGGTTCCGCCGAAAGCTGAGGAGATAACAATTCCTCCTGATGTTACTCCAGAAAAGGTTACAACTCAAATTGTCGATTTTTCTGGTATGTGGTGCTCACCAAACGGTGAAATCGTTCTCGCTCTACCTCAAAATTTCAAATTAATGTGTTTATTAATATTAATCTTTTTTTCCTTCTCACCTTCATCGTTCATTCTTCATCTTAAATGCTTCTATAACTGACACAGCACAAGAGCAAAGTGATGAAAATCTTTTCCAAGAGATTCGCAAATCTAATGTTATCTGCATTGTCTATGCAGTTGACGATGATGACTCAATTGAAAAGGTACTGTACACATAGTTTTTGGTTGGTATCTTGAATAAACTTGACTTTTGTCAGGCTTATGGTTTTCCATCCATCAATCCTGCCTTGTTACTCTCTGACTTAATATTATACAACCAGTCATCAGCTATGAGAGACTAGTTTAATCAAGATGGCTCATCAACCTTCGTATTATCATTTTTATCGTTTTGTTATGTCCTCATCTCATTTTCCTTTTCAATCCTTTTAATCATTTCAATAGATTTCATCCTATTGGTTACCACTTATTCGAGATCAGTTAGGAGAGGACCACACTATTCCGATTGTTTTGGTTGGAAACAAGGTTGATTTAGTTGAATATAGTTCTTTAGAGTTAATTTTACCCATTATGAATCAATTTAGTGAAATTGAGACCTGCGTTGAGGTTTGTATACGTTTTTGTCTGCAATTTCAATTAACCACTCGAGTTGCACTTGAACTCTTTTAATTGATGCGTCTCACACTTTTTTTTCGCTTTTTTTATTTATTTCCATTAATAGTGCTCAGCAAAAACGTTGAAAAATATTTCTGAACTTTTCTATTACGCTCAAAAGGCTGTTCTTCACCCAACATCACCACTTTATTCATCTGATGATAGAGATGTAAATATGTTTTCTGTTATCTTTGCTCAGCTGCTCAAAATAATTGATAAATGGTCAACAAAATAACAATATAAATATTTTTTTCTCCTTGTGCTTTCTCTTCTAGCTCACCGATAAATGTAAAAAAGCTCTCACTCGGATTTTCAAACTTTGTGATGAAGATAATGATGGTGTTCTAAATGACAGCGAGCTAAATCGATTCCAGAAACAGTGTTTCAATAGTCCTCTCCAGTCTCAAGCTTTAGAAGAAGTCAAAAATATTGTAAAACGCAATGTTCCTGATGGTGTTTTTGACAGTGGAATCACATTGAGTGGTTTTTTATTCCTACATCGTCTTTTCATTCTAAGAGGACGTCATGAAACAACTTGGACCGTTTTACGCAAATTTGGGTACAATGATCGAGTCGAGCTTGATGAAGAATATCACCGACCTTTTCTCAATGCTCCAACTGGATGTAGTAACGAATTATCTCCTGTGCTAACGAGGCCCAATAGAAACTGGCTTTCCCAGCATCTTAGGTAAGCATTTTTCGTTTAATATTTTAGCCATTTAAACTCAATATTTTTATTCATTTTATTACAGGCTGTGGCAGAATGCCTTCACGACCGGAACTCCTGCATTGGTTAAAGCTGGAGTAGGAATTGCTACACTAGCCATTGTCAGCATTTTCATTGTTAGATTTGTAAAATCAATCAATTCACAATCCTCTGGAAAGTGAATGGATGACTTAAAATAAAAAATTATAGGTTTATGTTTTTAAAGTGATTTAAATTACTTAAATTGCCAAATCATCAGTAATTATAATGATAAAATAAAGAGTTGAAAAGGTAAATATTCAAAGTCATTATAATGAACTTCAAAAAAATATGAATATATTTCATTTTCAAAAATATAACTTATTTGCAATACACTTTGACCAATCAACTCTTTTTTCTTGTCAAAATTTTATCTCAAGCTAATCATGAATTTCTTGTCAATGTTTTGAATCAGAAGCCAAATCAGATTCTTGATGAAATTAGAAAGCGAAATCTTGATATTCTAAAAGATCGCAATTACAATTCATTAAGTTAAAATTAACCTAATAGCAAGCCATGGTAATAATGGAATCTCTAAAAATAAATTGGTGATAGTAAATTTTTAAATATGTGTATTATTGTTTTCGTGAAACGCATATAAAATATAAAAATACATAATATTATAAATTACAATTTGTAGTTGAGAAAGGAATCTCTCAGTCAATGTTAGAAATCAATTGAAAGATTACAATTAAATTGACCATAAAAATCAAGAAGTAGTAAACACCACAAAAAACGTGTAAACAATAAAAAAGTGAATGATTGGAATGACGATGGACTTGAAATCGTTAATGGTGAAACAAAACAACAAGCATAATAGTGGTAATAAAACATCTGTTAACCATGGAATCCTCCACCAAACCCTCCACCAATCCCTCCGCCAATCCCTCCGCCAATTCCTCCACCGAATCCTCCTCCATGACCAATAGGAAAAGGATGAATGATTGGTGGTTTAACCGATTCAACTGCAAATGGCACAGGCACTGGGATAGGAATGGGTACAACTCCAAATCCTGGTGGAGCAAGTAAAGCGGCTCCTAAGAGTAGCTTAATAAGTTTCCGAGTTTCACGTCCAGATAGTCCAGATAGTCGGTGGTATCCTTCAGCTGAAGAGATTAAGATTATTATGGTGGCGATAAAGGTGAAAACAATAAACACTCTTTTAATCCTCATTGTGGAAAGTGGTCAACTTCAATCCTATTGAACAAAGATAAATTAAAATGAATTAACAACAAAATATTCAACACTCGTTATTTGGAAATGTGGCTTCCTAGGTAAAGAACAATCGATTTGAAATTAAAGCACAGTTTAGTCTGATGTAGCACTGGATTGGTTTTGAGATTTTGAGATTAAGCTGTATAAAAATGGACGATGTTTGCCTTCGAAGACATCAAAAGGTTATAACTGTGAAACTGTAAGGATAAAGCGTCTAAATGAGAGGTGTAATCATTGAACCTTAGGTTTTATATGAAAATGGCCTTTTTAGGTTTTCCCATTTACCTACCCTGACTGTAGGTCTCAAGCTCATCTCGGTTCTGGTTCGGTAGTATCCGATGGTCACTTTGATTCTTGAGCCAGTATCAGCCTAAAAACAGATTGTCACAATTGATAGACTAACCATTTCACTGGAACAAAGCGTATCTAAAAAAGACAAAAAGGGACAGCAAATTAAACATTATTATTACAACTCTCTCTTCTTCATTTTAATAATCTTCCTTAATACTTACATTTTTAATGATAATCACCATTTTTCAATTCAAGAAACAGTATTAATTAGTCTAAGACCTTAATAACAAACAAAGCTCAACGGTTACTCTCCATTTTGCGCCTTTTTCAGCTCTATTCATAGAGACGCCATATTTAGGGCCTAACTCTTCAAATGATGGTATTAAAAGCTATTTTAATAAATTTAGTTACATTTGCTCAATTTGAAAGTCAGAATTCTCAGATTGAACTTCTACCAGTCAAATTGAAGCTTTAGTAAAGATGGTAGACACAATATGAAACAAATTGAGATCAACAGTTGTATCAATACTTGAATTGGGTTAGACGTAAACATTGGAATTCACTTTAATTATAAATAGCTCTTGGTAAACATTATTGGTTAACTAATGCTGCTATTAAATTATGCACGAGTTGGTTAAAATCTCAATATTTTAAAATGGTAAATGTAATGAAATGTGATCTTGGCGAGTTATGGTTTGTTGAATATAATGATACATTTTCATGGATCAGTTTACATGAAGCTAAATAACTGAATGAAACAATAATACAACTGGACATTGACATTGGAGATAATTGTAATTTGATGAGCTTTACGCTCTTCAAAAGATTTTCAGGTCACTTAATTTACTTTCTTAACCAATTCCAACAAATGAAAGCACTGAAAGTGTTAAATTTTATAATTTGGACTTTTTAAAATTCTCATAATTTGTATTTCCATTTTGTCTTACCATTTTTTCAGCCTTATCACCAAATCAAATGATATACAAATAAACCATGTCATTTTCATGTATTTTATTAATATATTAAATAAAGATTGACAAAAAAATCAAACTAAAAATAATTACCATTTCAATCAGCAAACAAGTTTTACAAATAAAACCTCAAACCTCTTCATTAAAATCTGCAGCTAAACAAATGAAACAACTGTATCTGAAGGACTCAACACTAAATGCTTGAAACTCCGAAAATCAAATCTTGTTTTAATGTTAACTTACAATGAATCCTTAATCATAACAAATTGAGTACATGATTAAAGTTGTAGCGAAAAAATTTTCCTGTCGATATTGACAGAGTATCCTTCAACAACCATGAAAATGTCAGACAGGAATAAAAAACCGAGTCCATCAAGAAATGATAAAAAATACAACATTTGTAAACGCTGTTCAACACAACGGTATAAAATTGACATAAAAAATTGAAGATCATTTTGGCAATTTTTATCCTAAAAAACTTTCAATTATTCTGAACAAAATAATTGATAGTTTACTAAATTTTGGGAACAAAAAATGAATTTCGATTCAACAATTGAACAATTTTTTCAATCTTTCCTTCAATTTTAAAGCTATATTTATCAATTGAAAACTTGTCATTGATTCATGGAAATAATTAACGTAAAAATCAATAAAAAAAAGTTATTATCATTGAAATTAATTAACAGCTTATTTAAAACAAATGTTGACTCTTTTCAGTTGATTTACCTCTAAACAAAACATTATCCATTCAACAGTAAACTTATACAAATCTGACCAAAATTGAAAGGAAAATGTTTCAGTTTTCCAATTCCATCATGACTTAAACCTGAAGTTATAAGGTTACAAAAAAAGAGTAAAATTAGTTCCTGAAAAGGTGTAACCTGGAAGCATTTGGAAAGGCAAATCATGAATATCATTTCCTAGTTATTTGTCTACAAACAAAATAATCACATTCATCATTATTGTCCATAATTTTTGATTGAATTTTCAGCTAAACTCCACTATTTATGATTATTTCATGAATGTTTATATTGAAAAATTTAGACATGAAAATGGCAAAAGTAAAAGATGAAAAAGTGAAAAGTGAATCAATTGCTGTCTATCTAAATGCAAATTCATACAAATTCAATAAAAAGACAACTCAGATTTCCAGTTTTCATCAAAATCGACTTTTTTCGTCCTGAAATATTGACGCCCAATCCTTTTAAGTTCTGATATTTTATTGCAAGTGCAACTTTTTGCTTAACAAAATAATTAATTTGATAGAAAAGTGTAAATTATTGTTTCAATTGAGCTATTTTTAGTGATTCTGTGAATTTTTTTGTTTAACCCTTTTTTGCTCAGTTAACCCTTTGGCGACTCAATTCGGGTTCATCTTGAAGGGTTAGAAAGAGTTGAAGCACTTTTCTTATCCTTTAACCACTTTTACTCACTTCAAGGCCAAAAAAGGTCAACCAATGTCACATTTTAGTACCTTTAGCCTCTAAATTGGTAGCTGTTGACCTTGATTGCGCCCTATTCTAGCTTTACTTTTACTTTACCTTTGACCCTCTTAAATGTAACATAAGGTGGGTGAAGAAAGTCAACAAATGACATCAATAGTAAATGGAAACCGTTTAGGCGATTCATTCTTTTGCCATTGTGGGAAAACCTTTGGCCTTTACCTTATTAAGGTCATGACCTGGGTTAAGACCTCAATCGACAAGAGGTTACAAGGTTAACAACCTCGTTGTATTGTTGTTTTAACCTCATTTTTTCGACCCTCGGTCGAGTGTCTAGTTTATGCTTGTCAGATTAATCGATTAATGCTCCGTGAATTAAATTCATTCACTCGATTATTTCGATGACGTTCCTTGAGTCAATTGCGTGTACCTTTTATAATTTTACGACTAAATAGATCACAGTTCGCGTCATTCGCTGTCTTACAATAAGCACAGATTTCAGGTTAACTGGTAAACGGTTAAAATATTATTTTCTGTCGAAACCAACTAATCTGTACGTTTCTTTTCAGGTTTATTGAGTTACTCCAACTCTTGCAGCTTTTGTTGTCTTTCATTGCCATGATAACATCGTAAAAAGACAATGGTGAGAAGTCCTTTGGAACGGTGTAAATATAATTCTGTTGATTCTGGTCAATGACAATAATTGCTTGCAACATGACTCAATTCAATGGGATTCAATTTACAATGTATTTTTATTGTTCAGCGTCACTTATTATGGATACAATAGTTGCTGATTATGCTTTTGTCAGATTATGAAAGTTACTCGGTTAATGGAAAGTATATTAATTTGCAAAAAAATGAATGAGGAATAAGATGAAATTGAATAATAAAAAATACTGAATCTCATCAAATTTTTTTTATACATGTATCATGATACGGGAAACTGTTTCATTGTCTAATTGTTTTTTTCGTGTGATTAACATTCGGTTTTTACTCTATTGTATCATATTTACCAGATTTAACTTCTTTACAGTTCAGCTTATTCGTTTTCATGCTCTTGTCTCATCTCAAGATTTGTTAACCATGTAACCAAAAATAATTTAATCATCATTATTTCCCTAATAATTTTGTGCGTTTTTTATTACTATCAGTCATTCTCTTTCTAAAAATTCAAGATTTGTTTGATCGCATTAACTCATTTAATATCAAACCCAATAACATTACAAATGATCATTTACCTATTACTGGTTCAAGTTAACTTCAACCAGAAAAGGTTACCCATACAAGTATTTTATAAGACACTAGATGGAGCCTGATTATGCAGTTCCATCAGTTTTTTAATCAACTGAGAAAGTTACTGTTTTTGATTGCTTTTAATATATGTAATAATTTTGGCCATTTAATAACATTTATTAATAATAACCATTTTGTGGACAATAATTCCATTTAAAATAACTAAAATTTAGTTAAAATAATAATTAAATAAGGACTACGTACAATTGACGGAGCACTAGTTTCAGACATTTTCAAGTTACCACCTTGGAATCATCATTTCCACTCCCCTCAATAATCCTTTAATTAAAACAAAGAGTTAGTTTTGCCCTTCTGACCATTGTTGAGAATGAGAAATAAGACAGGGGAATAGACATAATAAAGAAAGAGGAGAATAATTTGGACCATTTCTCTTTCTCAATTTGAACACTTATTTTTTGGATATTGCATGTAATAAATCGACTTTTTCGTTTCTTCTCTGTGTTACCACCTGTGCTCAGGGTACGTATTGAAATCATCAAATAGTAACAATTTTGATAAAAGAATGAAATCGAATCGAAATTGTTAAATTATGAGAGTAGACAGATAGATACAGAAGACGCACCAGCTCGACAAAACGCATTCAGCTGTGCTTTAGCTAGATTCTTCTCAAGCTAACTAAACATGGAAACTTGCCTTAAGTCTTCAAGAAATTCTGTACAAAAGTTTTTACTTCAAGAGCTACAAGTTAGTCAAAGAACTTATACAAAAGATGTTTATTTATGAATCAAGTATATTTTCGTTTACCGCTTACTGTCATTTCAATCAAACGCCTTTATTCCTTCTGCACTGCAGCAAATAATAGTTTGTACGCCAGTTTTTTTGTTTATTGTAAACGTGAACTGCAAAAGATATGGAAATCATGATTGTCAGAATTATGTTGAAAATATAAGTTAATGTTGAAATGAAAATGCTGATCATTTGGCTGACCTACCTAATCTTTCATTCAAAATTTCAATTCTTATAGTAAAAGGTGTAGTTGGTATTTCAATTTAATCTAGAGCAGCCCGAATCTTTTTCGTGGTTGGTGTTACAAAAACCACTTCGAAATTGTCTAAGCTTATGGACAATTGTGTGCCAAACCACAGTTCAGCAACAACTGTAACAGCTCGTTCCAGCATAAGGATTTAAAACAAGACGAAAGGAATCCTTTAGGAACATTCCTTTCGGTTCTACCGTTGAGCTCTACTCTATAAGGGTTCAGTTTGACCTGGTTTGGATCCGTTAGGATTTCTGCTACATTCCTGTAGTATGGTGAGACAACTAACCTAAGCATCTAAATTTACTGAGCTGGTATTCAGAATGATAACTTGGATTGCATTCATTTCATAACCACTGAGGATGACACATAATATAATTGTAATATAAGATTGTTTAAAGATAACCGCAAATGTAAAAACAAAGCAAAATCAATGAATTGATCAACTGTTTCTTTGAACGCGTAACAATGTGAGTAAAAAATGTGATCAAATTTCAAAGTTGATTCCAAATGTTTATTTACTTTTTACTTGGTTCTTTTTATCATTTATTGATTTCTTTTATTATTATAATTAACAAAAAAGATGACAAAAACAGTGAATCAAAAAACATAATGTACGATGGAAAGGTGAATCAATTAACAAAAATAGTGAATCAATTATAAATGAAAGTGAATCAATTGAAACAAGTGAATGTAAAATAAACTGAAACCAAAACACAACTTTAATCAAAATTGATTATGATTATTGCTACCGCACAGATGATTGCTTGTGATTTTTTGTTAATCTTTATTATATATATTTATATTATTATTATGCCAATGTTGATGTGAGTTTTCAACCTTTTGTTTATCATCTCAATTGCTCATCAATTGATGACAACAATTAACTATTTGAGATTTACAGTTAACAAACAGTCACACAGTTAAACATGTTTAAAACTAAAAAGCTTGATTGATAAAATAATGTTAAAGGTTAATAAATGAGACGCACACAAACCATTGGCACAATCAACAAAGTTAAACAGTGTAAACGGCAAATCAAAAAAGGTCAAAACCAGAAAAGGCTTGAAATTAAGCTTGAAATTAAAATCAATTTGATTGTTGATCAATTATTGTACACAAGATATACACATAGACAGGGAATAATGTATTTTTGGGTTTGGGTTTGTCACACAATTTGCTGCAATTACAATTGAAATGGAAATTAAATTGGTACAAAAAACAATTAATTGGAAAAATATTTCATTTCTTTTTCCAATCAATGAAACACTTTTGATTTAAACTGCTCAACACTTTAATCAATTCAGCCAAATTGAACAAATCAGTTTAAGTTTAACTTTTTTTTGGAAATTTAAATTTTCTCATTTTTACTTCAAACCTTTTGTGTGTTTAATTACTTTGCTTATTGCACTGATTTTAAACTGAATCTTTAGCATGATTTATTAAAGATTATAATTGTTATTTGATATTTACTTATTACTATCAATAATTGTTATTACTCGATTGATTTGAATTTAGACAAAATTGGATCAACAATAATCAAATCAATGACTTTCTTGTGATTATTATTGTAAGTTTTTGGATATTATTGTGAGATTATTACAAAAACCAGCAAAAAACGGAGCAAAGACGAAAAACTTGCAAGCCAAGATCTGGATTATCCAACAGAAATCCCATGCAAATTGCTGTTCTCCAAGTGTTTTGATGATTAAACTGTTAACTGTTATCACCCGTTGCTTGATTGTCCGATAATAATAAGTTAATTATTGGTTTGTCCATTAATAACATTAACATTGCGCACTTATCGAACAGAATGAAAAGGTGATTTTTCCACTGGAAAGGTTGAAATGTCCAAATTCAACTGATTGACACTCAATTTTGTGGCGAAAAAAAACAGAGATTCCATTTTTTTCTTCTCTTGAAACGCTATTTACATCTAATACAACTTTTGTGTGTGTTGGTTTGGTTTTCATGCGCAAAGCTTTATTCATCCATGAATTGATGGTTCAGAATGAAGATAATGGAGGATTGTGAGGATGATGAAGAGATGTGTAGAGATGAAGATGAAGATGGAAATGAAAATATGAAATGTAGGTCAAAAAGGCTGATCTCAAACTGCACAGACTTTTGACTTTAAAAGCATATCAATAGACTCATGTTTTTGCATTGATTGATTAATTGATTAACTGTCTGATTGAAGTCACAATTGTAGCTCTAAACTTGCATCAAAACTCGCTGTTGACTGAATTACAAGTTTACTTTCCAATTCTTAAATTGTCAACCTTTCTCCTGTTAATTTCCTTCTAATTATTGTGATTAAATGTGTTCAATTGAGGTTCTACCTTTTTTATATTAACAATGAAAATTGATTAACAATTTGACCAAATTGTGATTACAGTTTTCATTCTTTATTTATTTCTTGTTTTATTTTCTCGCATCAAACAATAAACCATTTCCAATATTAACTAATGCTATTATGAGACTTTTATTCCTATTACCGTAATATATAAGATAAATATTTAATTGTGTATATACAATTAGTTAATTGCTTTTTTCTTCCTCTTCTCTTTGCCTTTCTCTCTAACTGATTGTAACGAATCAAGTAAACATTATTGACTAGCTAATTGTTTGTTGAATAAATTTTGTTTGATTTGAAAATTGTCATCACTTTATCGTTGTTGTTGAATGGGCAAAAAGCAGTTTAAAATAAGCAATTAACCGTTCATCTAGAATAATTTTTAGGTGATCATTACGATTGTGTGTGTGTTTCAATGATTACTGTTGTCTAATATATAAAATGATTGAGATGATGATGAAAGGACACTTGGTATAAAGAAAAATGTTTAACTGAAAACTGCAATCAATTTGGTTAGTTGATCAATGTTGATGGATTCAATGTTTCAATGTTTGACCAAATTCAAAGTCAACCCAGGTTTGAGCAAACATTAAATGTTGAACCCTTTTGTGTGTTGATTTCTGGTTAACTTTTCACTGGACAATATTTTCATTTTTTTTTGGGTTATTTTGTGTCTTGTAAATGATTGATTAAATCGCTCACACTTGGAATTTACAGAGAGAGAGAGAAAGAAGCAAATTAACAGGAGAAACTAAAAAAATGATCAATTAATCAACCAACAAAACCATTTGTAAAAATGTGTGAGACAAGCAACTGTGGAGATGAACTGTCGAGAAGAGTTAACAATTAAATAATAAAATAATTATCTTCTTAACCCATTTCATTTGACTCTTGTTTTTGTTTTTGCTTGTCTCACTGATGAATCTGATTATTATTGTTAATGAACGCAACAACTAAAAATACAAAAGGCATTCAAATGAAGTCAACAAGGTAATATCAACAGAAAGTCAATTGTTTGATTGCCTGGTAAATTGTAATACTCTGATTAGTTGATTAACTCTGCGTGTGTATTCACTTCGGGCAAAGGTTAAGCTTGGTTGATTAATGTTTTCCTCAAATTTCATCAACGTTTCATGGATAAAGGAGAGAAAATTGTCTTTCTTTTTATCCAATATAAGTAAACGATGTTGATTATAATTATGTTATGTAAAAATGATTATGTTTTAGAAGAGCAATGAGTTTGGTGTTTGCAAGATGAAGATGCGTGAAACTGAATCAACTTCAATATTCCCTGTCTTCCACTGAACCATGCATGTACCGATCAGTTGGCCTGGGCTGTGAGTATTGTGGTCGAGTTTCATAGAAAGAGGTTTGCTGTACATCGGTTGCTCCATAGAAAGGATTGTTATTGTTGTTTAGATTAATATTGCTATTTGGATCCATCATGTTGGGCCCAGGTCCGCCTCCAGTTGCGCTTGGATAATATCCTTGACTATGAACCATTTCTCCTGAATCCATCCTTTGCAAGTCTCCATTCATTTCACTTGGAGGTGGATGGCCACCTTTAATTGACATTTGCCGTATCTTCCAGTTGGGAATGTGATTCGGGTCTGGCGGTGGTTCAGACCAAGGTTGCAACTCTCCGGAGGCAAAGATTCCGTAAAATATTACACCGCACAAGTGGATGAATCCAGCAATTGTAAACACTTTTTGCCATTCTTCCGAAGTCTGTAATTGATAGTAAAACAAAAATTCAATTAGTGATTCAATTGTAATCAGTGATACTCTTTTTTTTCTTGTGTAAATCAACATGAAAGGTTTGCCCATTTTGGTTCCATTTAGGGTCTCTTGTCATCTTATTGACATTTGATAGTCACTTGACTGTAAATGTTCAAGTTGCTTTTATTGCACTTGATCATTATTAACTTTCCATTGTTATTATAATTATTATTGGGAGTTCATTTTATTGATAATGATGATGATCATCACTCCATTTTATGTTTATTGTAAAGAGGCCAAAAAAACAGAATCATATTATTGGTTAAATAATTATTCACATCACATTCTCATCCTTGTTTAGGTTAATCATGATAATAAAAGTTCTTAAAGTTTTTTCTTCTTCCCTCTGCTTCGCTCTCTTTCATTGCTTTTATCATACCAATATTGATCAACATTAACATCTCCTTCAGGGCAGTTTAATTGCTTCTTTCATTCATGATTCTTCTTCCTCTTATCATCACCCGAAATTCAACTCTTTTTATTCGTATTTAGACTTTTTTTCTCTCTCGTCTATTACTCTTCATCTTTGTATCCAAGGTAACCCTTTCCTCTATCAAACTATTTCCACCCACAATTAGGTTTCTTCATGTCTACAGATGAACCTACTTTTTCAATGGGTTACTAGTTTATTGGAACAAGATTTTTTCCCATTTTTCCAGATTCAAAGAAATAACCAGAAGAATGAGAAAACCATAAAATGCGTCTCTTTTACAACCTAAATGAATGAATTTAACAGATTTTTTGAAAACCTGGCTATCAAAGTGATAATCTAATTCAGAAATTGATGACAGTTGTAAAGTTTCTGTTCACAATTTGCTATAAAAAGATTGACAAAATTTACAAAGAATCTAGATTCTATGCAAAGATTCACCAATTAAGTGTTACTTGTCTCGATCTTTATTGAAAGAGCCTTTTCCAATCAAAACTAAACTGATACGACTGCTGGTCCTAATCATTATAAATAGATGATTACCAATTTGAGGCTTAAGCTTCAAATCTGCTAAAAACGAAGACAATGGAGCAACAGGAATTTTCGAGAATCTCAGCTAAAAGTTCTTGGAATAGAAAAAAGATTGACTTGATTAGTTGAGAATAGATTTTGAGAGCATTTCGATATGAATAAGAATTTACTTTTCTCATTTCGAGTAACATTTCAGACAATTTTGCTGCTAACAAAGTTAGTTCAACTCTTTGCTGTAATTTGAACATTTCATTTTTATTCTTGCAAAAATAATAATAATGTTCATCTTCTTGGTGCTTGTTAATTCAATGATGTTACAATTTGATCGTCTTCTTTAGAAACGATAAAGAGTTTCTTCTTTTCACAGTAATCTTTTTGCCGGAAGGAAACTTGAAACAAATTTTGTCTTTCAAATTATATTTCACGGTTCATCTCTGTTTCATTTTTACCAGAATTTAGAGTTTGGAAAAAAGTGTTCCTATTTAATCATGTTATGTTCAGTTAAATAATATTTTGAAATAATGATATCCTTTTTTTGTCACCTTCAACTTTTCACATGTTAAAGTGCAAAAGAATTCATTATTGAACCATTTGGGGAGAAAATAATCATTTTCAGATTCCAAATGCTTCTAATTTTTCAGAATATTTCCAATTCCAAAGACTGAGTTACAATAATTATCAAGGAAAAGAGTGTAAATTTGATTAGCACGGTTGGATTTAAATTGCCAAAAACAGGCATTACAATTGACTGTCATAATGATGAAAGGTTAGAGATGAATTGTAATGCATCAAAGGGAAGACTAAGTAAGCTTATTTATATTGGAAAATTCATCTTCATGTATTTGTCAAAGTTGATTGAAACTAAAGGATTTTATCATCTCGTAGGGATGAAGACATTTTTACTTTGCGAAGACAATCAAATTGAAGGAAGATGAAAAGACGAGCATTTAACCATTTAAATCTGATTTCAGTATCATCATCATCATTCTTCTTCTTCTTCCCTTTTTCCCTTTCTTTACCTTTTCCTATCCAATCTCAACTTCTAATTGTGATGCTAATGTAATTCAATAGATTAAATTGATTTACAGTTAAATGCAGTGTTTGTCCTTTTTTTCATCAGCTCAGAATTGCAAATAATATAATAATAGTAATACTTTTATTTTTGGATAGTTTACTCTTTTTTGGCTCTCATTCATACTCAATCAAAATGATTACGGAAATGATTCAATCTGTTTCATTCAATCAGATACAATTACCATTACCATACGCAAAATAAACAACCATTTATAGTTGATTGAGCTGTTCACAAAATTATGCAAATACGACAATTAAGAAGTAACATTTGATGACAATTGTTGTAAATATCACTTAATTTACAATCAATTTTTCTCCATTGCTTACCACAGAATGGAAAAAACGTTATTTATGAAATTTATCCAACAATAGTCACCAAGTGTCTTCAATTTAACAAACAAATCTTCGAGATTCTAGAATGAAATTCTCATGAAGTGTTTACAAAACAACAGCCGGTTAACCAGTTTTAGTTTTTGGGTAAATTATCCAATGTAACTGAAGTTTACTATGAAACATTTCGAGTCGATTTACAGCTTTACTTGTGAACAATCTTGTTACCTTGTGTTCGGTCATGAGTTCGGTAACAATCGGACAAAACATTCCAGCAAGAGTTCCAAAGCCGTTTGAGATTCCCATTAGAATGGATGCGTAACGAGGTGCAATATCCAGATGATTAACGTTAAAACCTAGTTGTTTGTTTGATGGAATACAAAAGACAATAAAAGTAAATTAGATTGGCATTTACCAGACCAAGATTCAAGATATAATGGATAAAACAATTGGTTAGAGAAAGGTGAATGCAGAAAAAAACTAATTACCTGAAATGGCAAATCCACTAAAACCAACAGCAAAGGTTAAAGCTGAAATGGCTAATGCTTCACTTGATGTGCTTCCAACAACAAATAGGAACAATGCTTCCATACCGAAGCCTTTCAGGGTGAAAAAGAAGGATAGATAAAATAATAATAGAAATCAATGGAAATTCATGTTTAATTGCAAGAATAGAAAAAAAGAGACTCAGAAAAGCGTATTTACCTCCACAATTGAATAGTTTTCTAACTTGAGTTGTAGTCAATATACCAGACCGTCTAAAAAAATCAGCCAAATGACCACCAAATGGGACTATAATTGTCATACATAAGTGAGGAACGGCACCTAAAAACCCAGACTTTGGTCAAAAAGTTGACCGAAGCAGGTGAAAAGGGTGAGAAACAAAAATACATAATTAACATCAATCACAATTAACAATCAAAGAAGCATTGAAAAAATATTCAAAAACAGCCGTTAATCCAAACCAAGTTAGTAAATAATTTTGCCTCAAGATGTCGACAGTCAGTAAAATAATAAACCCAAATTGATTGGTAAAGTAAAAATTAAACATTAATGAAAGATTAAGCTCGATTTTTATGAAAAATTGCAAATTAAATATTTAATCTTCATAATCTCAATCAAGGTAATCCTCAACTTGAACCAAATCTACTAATCTTCATCAAATGTCAACTCCAACTCAATGAAGAGTTGAATGGTTTCTCTTGTTGTCTTCAGTTCATTTCAATTTCAGTGAAAGATTTTCAGCATTCAACTGAAATCTCTAAACCTTTCATCATTTCCAGAGGTTAAATGGACTCCAGGAAAATGATATTGATTCATGATATAAAGTTGACATTGATATTATCAGATAATTCAGGGAGGAAAAGATGATAAAGGTTGGCTCAATGAAAAAGGTAAACTTTACGTGAAAAAAAGGAGAAGATAAAATGAAGATATAAATACTGAATAAATCGTAAAGTCAATTAAGTTTAACTTGGCATTTGCCAAGGAAAATGTCTCTAGAGATTGAGAAGAGCAGAAAAAAGAAACCCAAAAAACGAGAAAACGAAAGACATGATAAAGATGAGAATGATGATGTTAGGGATGAAAGATGAAAAAACAATGTTTCATGTTAATGAAATATTAAAATGCTATTGATTTGCTTTCATCATTTGATTGGTTCAAATTGTTACATTTGAATGAGAGTTATCGAGTTGGTCAATTGATTAATTTTTGGCTTCTCCTGAAAATAGATCCATTACTTACTTCACCCACAGATGAATGGAAAACATGTTTGAAATAAGTTGGCTGTGATATCAATAAAAGGTAAAATGTCCAACTACGACAAAAATTGGCCACTATTATAGCATACACAGGTAACGATGAAAATATATCCTTCCAAGGAGTCGTTTTAAACTGTTGAAGAGAAAAGATTAAAGATTAAAATTGAATTGAAAGCAAAATGAAACCTGAAAGAAAAGATTCTCAATGAAAACTGTAATCTCGAAATGGTCAGTTAAGATTGAAAATGTTGACCTTTTCTCGAAAAGTTACATTTCTGTTAATGATGAAAGATGAAGCTAAAATGTTATCAATATTGACGTAAATGTTGAGAAAAGTAAAAAAGCAAAAATTATCTCAAGTTCAAATGAACAGGGAATTGATAAACTGTAAATGTTCAACAATAAACAGGGAATGAAGACTGAATAAGGAATGAAGAGGGAAAAGTGAAGAGAAGAAGTTCAGTCTGAATAATATTATTATTTTCGTTTTTACTTTTTTTTCTCTCTCTTCCTTTGGCTCTACTCTTTATTAGATATGAATATAAATATAAACCATTGTGTAGAGCAATATGCATTACAAGTGAATCCATTTTTGGTAACATTTTTGGGTGACTTAAAAGTAACCAAAATGGAAACTCTTTCTTTCTCTCTGTTCATTCTTTACGCTCTTTCTTCTTCTTCTTCTTCTCATCTTCCTCTTCTTAGAGCATAAACTAGCATCCATTATCAAGTATACACTTTCCTCTGTTGACAGACAGAGCTGAATAGCCCAGTTTCATGGGGAATGTCAACACTCAATTTAAATATTGATCTAGTCTTACATGTAACTTTGTCTTTAAGATATTGCATGGCAAAGAGGCACAAAAAAGAGGAATGATAATGATGATGAATGGGTGAGAAGGAAAGACAAAAGGTCGACCCTTTTTTGATGTCTTTATTTCATTTTTTTTTTGGGTGAAAATGTGAATCTACAATTACAACTGTTTTAGGTTTGGGTAACCTTCATATTTGGGACAATTTACAGTTTCAATTGAAACATCTCGACATTTATCAAATTTGAGATCAAAAACGTTTAAAGATGAAACACTTGAATTGCCAACTTTCATTCCTTGTTGCTATTAAACTTCAACATATTTTACATTTTTATTATTTGAAATTTCAATAGAAATGAAAGTTGAGGCACATGGCGATGGAATGGGCAGAAATCATGATTTTAATACGAATGCGATTTGAACAAGTTCAAGATTCAGAAAATCGAAGTTGATCAAAAGGTGAATGGAAAAATAAAATATTTTGGATTCATTGAAATAGCGCGATCAATTGGAATAAAGATTAAGATTTGAAAATTAAATTCTGGTTTTAATTCAACAAATGAAGCATCTTTGCTTGACTTATTAATACAAGTGTTTCATCTTTAAGAATTTTTCAAGCTCAGTCTGAACCTGAGCAAACCTAAGGTTTGTCTTGAGGATGAAACTGTCGAAATGGCAGGTTAAACTTGGTTAACGTCCATTTAATATTGTTTGATTTGAAATAAGTTTAAACTTGAGTTATTTTGAGCATTTTGAATATGGAAATCCATGGAAAGAGTTTTGAGGGGAAAAAAGAGTTTGACTTGAATTTGCATTCCAGATAACTCGATGTTCTCAATGGTTTTCTTGACTAATCGAGACTCTTCTTGGGACAAGATTTGTGAATCTCAAGACTAGTGAAACCAGAAAACAGAATTAACTGGACAATCAAGTCAAATTTACTGTTAAGTGAAGACAAAAATTTGCCTCGAGATAAGCTTTAGCTTATTACATTATGAGTTTTTATTCAGTCCATTATCAAGTGAAAATGATGAGAAAGGAGGGAAAAAAAGTTGATTCAAGAAACAAGAAGTTTATAAAAGAAACAACAATCATCAACGCTATCATCATCATCATCAACATCAACAACAAAAACAGGAGCAATAAAAAAAAGAACTCGGAAAAAGGCTGAATTGTTGGATACTCAGGATTCACAAAGACACAAAACTCATACAAATAAAAAAGGAAACAACAAACCAACATGGATTGGATTTGCAAAGCAACAAGGGAATTGAAGAAATGAAAAAGATGAACAAGGTGAAGAAGATGATTGTGATGTGATGGAGAGAAAAGGAAGAAAAGAGAAAGAATAGAAAATAAGAAGAAGAAGAAGAAGAAGAAGAAGATAAGGAAAGATCATTAATGATGCTGGTTTTGATAATAATTGGGATTGACGAAGCACATAGTAATTGAAGGTCTTACCGTTGGTGAAGTCTGAGCAACGTTACCAATACTTTCTTCGATGTAAATCAATTCAGCTTGAGTGATTGTTGGATGTTTGGCTGGCTTTTCAAATGACAGTAGTAACCAAGAAATGTACCAAAAACAGCCGACAACACCTTTTATCGAAAAATAACGACACAAATGCAAAAGGAAAAACAAATTAACTCAAGATTCATTTACTTTCAATTGACTTTCCATTCAATTTCAATAAATCTTCAATTTCCCAAACTAATGTCTCAACTTGAGTTGCAGTCAAAACAATCATCTAAAGTTTATCTTTAATCATTCACTTGGTTTCCATTTTTGGGGTTAAATTTGATTGAGCTTCAATTAATTTGAAAAAAATGGTCGACTTTAAGGTCACTTTGATGACTAAATGTGATTCGATTCTAATGAATATTTCGACCAGGAATAGCTTCACACTTGTGGCCATAGGATTGTTTTGAATATTGTTTTCATTATTGTGACAACAAATTTAATGTTAGTTTAAAATTGATGAATAAAATCGATTCTCTATCTAATTGCTTGATAATCAAAAATTTATCAACTTCGTTGGTTCGAAGTTTATTGTCATTTCTACAGTTTTCTTGAAATTTATTGTCCTCATGATTGTTTCGATGAATTTCAGTTCTATAATCAGCTTTAATATTGAATAAATATTTTCAAATCGATCGTAAAAAATTGGTTATTAAAATATTTCCCAATTTCTAGGTTACCATTGAAACATGAATGTTGAAAAGCAATGTTCAAACAAAATGATCAATTAATCAACAATTGAACTTTTCTCTTCCTTTCTGTCAAAAAATTCCTTCTTTAGGAATAATCGATGCAACATCAAGGTAAAAACTGACTTTAAACGCAATGATAAATATAGATGGTAATAATAGTCGTTTCAAATCGATAATCAGATAATCAACAAAAAAAAATTAACAGTACATTTCAACATTTTGTTTGCTAATCTGTTTTGCCACTAAACCAGGAATCATGAAGAAAAAAACTAAAGCACGAAACTCTTTAAAACTGAACAAGAGTAAAAGTTAAAAGCAAAAAATGGAGTCAAAAATAGAGTTGAAAAGATGAGGAACAAAAAATCTGGTGAAAAAATGTTCCAAAATTGAAATTGAATCAAATGATAGCCAAAGTCTTACCATAAAAATAAAAACAAGCCTGCCAACCAAGCCACTCTGTAAGCATACCCGATATGGGTAAACCTAAAACAGCTCCAGCATAGGATCCTGTAATGGGAGAATCAAGAGAAATGTTGAAATGTTTAATATTTGATTAAAGTTATGATTTGAATTGAGTGGAGAAAGGATGAAGATGAGAAGTGAGAGATGATAATGAGGCTGGAAAAGATGGAGAAGAAGAAAAAATTGCCTTCTCTTTATGTTGATATAATTCGATAATCAATAGGCTGGGAGTGAAATGAGATGGTAAAGGAAATTAAAAAAAAAGGTAAATGGAAATAAAATGGGCAAAGATGATGATGATAACGTACCACAAAAAGCCAGAGTAGCTAAGCGACTGCGTTCAATGGGAGGTGCCCAATGACGCCATATACCATGACATGCTGGATATGTTACACCCTGAAAAGTGAAAATCAGATTATTATTAGATAATGATAACTTTTTTTCTCCTTTCCTTTTATACTTTAATTTCATTTCCCAGTGAGTATACTTTTAACCCTTTTTTCTGGTTCTGCTTTTTGTTACATTCATTTCCTGATCAGTTTGATACTCTTGAAAAATCCTTTTCAACAATTTTCTCACCCAATTTTCCTGGTAATTAATGTCATTGGAACACACACATTTCAACAAAAGTTTTAAAATAATTTTCACCTTTTCTCTCGTCTTTTTGTGTTACTTTTGTTCAATTTTTTTTATGATCACTCAATGATTACCTTTTGCTTCATTTGCCACTTACTGTTCATTTCATTGTAATACATTGTTCAATTGTTGTTCACCAAATGAATTGTAAATTATTGAACTTATTGAAGAAGAAGAACAAATTGACAAGATTATGAAAGAAGAATGAAAATTTCTCAGATAATTCAGTTGTTGTTGTTGTTTCACTTACTCTTTGTCAACAGTGAAATCACAGGCATTTCAATCATGAATAGTGAATGAGAAAATTTTCTCTCAACAATTCTAAACTTTTGTCAATTCTTATATTCCAATATATAAAAAAAAAGGTTTACTGCAACTGGCAAGGGAAAGATAAACAAGGTGGGAACAATGAGGGGAAATGAATCAAGAAAATGAACTTCTCTTGTGCAACAATTGTTCATGGTTGGTGGAATCAGTAAAGAATCTCAGGTTTTGATGAGAAATACCTTTTGCTTTTGCTCATCAAATGTAATAACATGATGATGATGATGGCCTTTCAAAATGTTTAGACTGTAACCTGACTAACAGGAGTAACAACAGTCAATAAGAGAGCAACTTGAAAACAATAACATTTCATTGAACATTACATGATGAAATGATATTTTTTAGTCAACAGAAAATTTTCTCTCAATTGTATTACATTGAGAAATGATGAAAAGATGACAAAGAAATGGATTCTTGGAACATGGAATTTGAAAGAAGAGAAATGGCAAAATCTTGCGAGTTCATCATTATTTTCAAGTTTAGATGAAAAAACAAAATCTGATGATCCCAATTGAATTGTGACTATTAACGGAATGAATTTCTTCTCCTTTTACCTTCCAAATGTTGTTTACATTTTTATAATGAAATCCATGTAAACTCAAAAGATTATGATGAACCTGATGAAACGTGGAACAACTGAAAAAGAATTAACTTTTCCATTTGAATCTTGCCTTCTTTTTCACCAGTTTTCATGGTATACAAGTTTGATGAAGAAATTGGTTGAAATTTTGTTTTCCATTTAATTTTCTCAAAACATTTCTTATTCAATTAAATAATCAAACCTTTGAAATCTCTAAAATAATAAGTTCAATTAAGAGACTCTTTTTGTGGTTCATCGTTCAATGTTACATTACTTATAAGCTTATAAACTTCATCATCATCATTCTTAAATGTTCAACATTTATCGTTTTACCTTTTCTTTACTTTTTCTGCTCTTTTCATCTTCTCTTCCATATCAATGTTTTCATCCATTTTCTTTGTTTCATTCACAAGATATTTTATTTATTTCTTGTGTTTTATTACTTCATGAAGAGGAGGAAGAAAAAGCATGAGAAAAGAAAGTGGGAAACTCTTTTTACAGATCCTTGACAGATCGATAAGCCTTAAAAACCCAATGAAAAAAAAACTGAGAAATGTAGGAAATTGTTCACTTTTTTATCGTCAATTCATGGATTTATCAAGAATCTCAAGTAATTCTGGTAAAGCCAATGTCAAGTTGCCTTTTTTCTCGCTCCATGTGCATATTTCATCTATTAAACTTTAATATCATTTGATAGTTTTTAATGGCATTTGACAAGCAAACATTTCTAGTTGACTTAAAAGATATTTAATAATCTGACGAGTTTAACTTTTCATTTAGATTCGAGTTAAATTGTTTTCATTAAAAGTGACCTTTTCGTGAAAATAATTTCAGTCTTTACCAACCAACCAGATCAACTAGAGTCACTGATATAAAGACGCGTTCATTCAGACTGTGGCGATTGAATTTCAAGTTATATTCATTTAGTTAAAAATTGACCTTATCGAATAGCCAATGGATTTAAGTCTCAAATCAATTTTGAAAATACTAATCATCCATCGAAGTCATCAATCAACTATTCAATTAACAGAAACTGCATTTCATAACAAAATTACATTTTTTACATTACAAAATTTCCTTGTATATTCACAGAAATTCAATTGAAACACATTTATCCCAATTTTCATTTATGATTCGTTGAAATCTATCACTTTCATTCCGAGATTATTGAAAAATTCAAAAATGAAAAATTATTCAAGTTGGAGTCTGAATATTAAAGGAATGCAAAATCGGTTAATTCAGCTAAATTTAAACTTGATCGAGACATATTTTGGCGGCACATCGACGTCAAGTCAAATTTTGAAATCTTAATGCCAATAAAAAGCGCATTAATAGAGTTGCGAATCGCGACTGCAGAAAGATTGCAGATTAACTATGATTGAATATGCACAGTTTGATTAATAGCAACAAATGTGATGATCATGTTGGTTGGCAATGATAGCAATTGTGAAAAGTGAAGCCAAGCTGCTGAGAGAAGCAATTAATTAGCTTGAACTTGTTCTATATTTGTTCAGTTCTAACTTTTATTTTTGCTTCTTCTTCCTTCTTTCCTCGAGTTTTGTCTTGATTGTGTGGTGAAAGATGAATGTGATCATTCTGTAGATGGATGATAATGATGAAAGGTAAAGGAGGCAAAAACAGAGCGGATAAAGATGCTTTTGAATTCAGGTAAAAAAAAGAAGGTTGAAAAGTGAGCTTAGAAGGTAAAAAAAGTTGCTTTTCTCTCTTCACTCCCTGAAGATGGAAAAATTGTTGCTGGGATTAACTTGAAGGCAAACAAGAATTGAACTAAGCTGTGGTTACGGATTAAATATTGCATTAAAAAGAAAAGCTAATCATGATGGAAATGTTAATCAAGCAACGAAAAACAAAAGGTTTCTCATCGAAAAGTGCATTTCCAGTTTCAACAGAAAATCACAATTAATAATTAACATGCAATTGCGTGATTTATACAAATATATTTATCCAAACTGTTCAACATTTACTAATAATCATCTTGGAAGAAGCGCATGAATTGTAAAACTTTATCAACAAATTAAGTTTCCATTCATTATTCATGATAATCTGGATAATGGATCAACTTTTTTCTCTTGCAATTGGCTTCATTTGGAAAACTAAATGTTTGAAAAATGAACTTTTTTCACCGTTAACTTAATTTATATCTCGAGCTTATTGAGCACAAATGATATTGATTAAACAATGTTTCATGAACCATTTGCAAATAGCATGGAAAAAAATGAACTTCTTATTCATGCTCTCGATACTCTTGTTTACCTTTTTTGTTCACAACTTTTCTTCTCGTTCTTTTCGCTATTTTTTCCTGTTTCAGGAGTTGAGAGATTGCTTGAGGCGACAGAATCTAGTAAACCATATTTACTCGACTCTCTCTGTGTTTGGAAACACAATTTTACCGTTAAAAGTTTAACCTTATTCAGAATTTCATTTTTTGCCAAATTCTGTTATCGACCCATCTTGGTCCATTCATGATAACTTTGACTTTAGACTTGTAATTTGGTTAGCAAATGTTGCCTAATGTGGAAAAGTTCATGATATTCACAGAATGCTCTTGTAATCCATTTATATTATGAAAGTTAACAGTCTATTTAGAAGTGTAATTATGTTTACAACTTATGAACATCTCATTCTGGACGAGCAAATGGTTTCAATCATGAATTCTGAAATGAAAATCTTGTTAAAGATAATTATAATTAGCATTATAATAACGTTTCTGTTTTTGTTTCATTACTTTCAGTGCAACTTAATGAACACCTACGTTGCTCTGTTTACTCCAAGTGCAGGGTAACATTTTCTATCCATTTCTTTTTGTTCCTTCTCATGTTAATGAAACTTGAATGAAATTGATCAACATTAGAGTTATTAATAGAAGCAGGAGAGAGAAAGGGTTGAAAGTATAACATCAATGGAAGGACATGAATTTCCATTTTTTTTTGTATTTTTTGTTCTTTTCATTGGAAAGTGAACATGTTTGTATTGAATTGGAAAATATGGAGAAAAATATTGTTCTGTAATTGACACTGGGAGTGAGTTTGATTGAAAGGGAGTAATTACCTCAACAAGTCCTTGTAATATCCTAATTATCATGAACATACCATAACCAAAATAAGCTGCGCCCGGAAGTAAAAGGTTAAGGAAGGCAGAGGTGGCTATTGCTGTTCCAAAAACTCTGAAAATGGTTGAGAGAAACATTTGATTTGGATTATTCAATTTGAAGCAACTTGGGTAATACAAACCTATTGGCTGGATATTTGGCGGCTAAAAACCCGCCTGGTATTTGAGTGACAATGTAACCCCAGAAGAATGACGAATCAACAACACCAACAGTTTCAGGGGTCCAATCAAGTTCAGGCTAAAGAGTAAATAAATTCATACGTTATCGGAGTAAGAAAATGGTTAAATGTGGTTTGGTGCTTTCATTCAAATGCTGAGGCAAGTTCAACTTTGTATTGAATCAATGAAATGATTGAAATAGCTTCTGCATCAAAATTTTTGTTGGTCAAAAACATTTCATGAGAAGCATTTTTTTTATTTGCGGTTAATTGATAACGAAGTGAAGTCAGATTTCGGAATAAAATGGCTTTTTTAATTCGAAAATTATAAATCAATGTTTCTCAGAAGCTCGTTTTGGATAAGAATGAACAAAATTTATTCTCATTCGACGCAAAAAAGCAGAAAAAAGACTTCATCAGTTGAAGAAACAGAATTTTTGAAAAAGAAATATCAGAAAAAATTTCTTATAGAGAAAATTTGTTAACATTGGAAGCTTGATCAATTGTTAAGATGGAAATGCTTTTGAAGCCTTTCTCTGAATCGACTGATTGCGTTGGTCAGTTCTTAGATTGAAGCGAAATTGATGAATGAATTTATCAAATGAAAAGTAAATTAGCGTTTGAAACGAATGAACTATGTTGGTTGAAACTGAAGAATGTGATGAATTTGATTTAGAGATTGATAGAGATTAATTAACAAATGAATGGTAAAAATGGACTGTTAAAGCCAAGTAAAACTGAGATCAATCAATTGGTTGACAAACACGAAACTATTTTAGTAAATGTTTATCTTTTCATTTTACTTTCAGCCTCGAGATTCATTAGAACCATCAATATAAACCTTTTGTCCACGAATCTCTCTCGAGGATTAATTTCACTCTTTGTCAACCTTTTAGATACAAGTTTTAGCAAAGTTACAGATAAATCTGACTCAAAATTATACACTTTCCACTTTTGACAACTTTTTGTTTCAAAGCTCAACAACCTTTCAAGCCTTTAACCTTTACTCTTTCCCAACTCTAACATGCTCTAAATTATTGATATTTACAGATGAACATTTGCTGATAAAAAGAAGAAGAAGAAAAAGGACGAAAAAAGAAATACAAAGATATGGACTTGGATAATAATAGAGAATAAAAATTCATTGGATTCCCAAATGATTGCCATTTATGCCTCTTGAATAGTCTGGAATGATATTAATGATAAAATAACAACAAACAAAACATGGATTTACCTTTTTAATTCAACATCATCATTCCTCCCAAGATGACACATTAACATTATTTAACAACATTATTTCAGCCTTTTAACAATTATTAACTTCATTTGTTGATCATCGATTCTGAAAGCATAAACTCAATGAACTCAATTTTTAAGGAAATTATGATTATTACATTTGAAGATTAAAAATGAGCGAAAATTATTTGAAACAAATTAAATTGTCTTTAATCGTAATTTTATCATTGCTTTGAATGTAAGCGAAAAGAGTGAAATTTAGTGACTGGGAGTGAGTTTGAAGTTGGAGTGAAGAAGTATAAATAGTAATGTGTATCAGTGGTAAAATAAAGAGGATGAGAAGATGAAGATTCTTGAATTCGGTTGAATGAATTTTCACGGTTGACCTGGTTGGACTAGCTTATCGTATCAATCAAGGTATTCATGAATTTCATACCAAATGGAGGTTGAATCAGGAAAGGAATAGTAAAGGATGATAATGATGATGATGATGATGATAAGGGATGAATTTAATGAAACAATTTTTGCATGAAATGTAATAAAAGACTGATACAGACTGATAACAATAATGAAAGGATAAAAAAGATGATGATGATGATGATTGAGTTCACTGAATAAAAAATGAATGTCAATATTGAGGATTAAATTGCAATGAAACCAAAAAGTTTTGAAGCGAGAAACGGGAAAAGTTTCAATTTTAAGAGTTGAATAAAAAAAACAGTTTACTCAATATTTACCTCAGAATGAATGATCGACTTGAACATTTGCTTTTGTTTTAAAAGTTTAAATTCATCACTTTGGCATTATCACTGATGGATTGGGTGACAAGAATAGAAGTTTCATTATCGTCACAGAATCCGCTGGGAATGGAAAATATCAAAGCATTGCACACCTACATGAGAAGCATTGAGCAATGAATTTCCTGTTGATTCAATATTCAGAGAAAAGGTGAAATGTTGAGACAATTGGAAAGCATTTGCTTTGCATCAAAATTATCATGAAAATAATTAGCTTTTGATAGTCTTTTGTTATGGATTGCTTGAGGCAAGTCGATGTAAAAAAACGATAATCATGAACATTTGGAAGAATGAAAAGGACAATTATCTAAATGGAAAGAAATTTTTGGAAACTTTAAGTTGAACATTTATCGATTATTTCAATTGTTTTGCTTCATTTTTGTTCAACTTTTTCACCGGAAAATTTTCCCTCTAATTTGAATAAAACATGGAACTTTTGAAGCTCGATTTTTTCAAGCTTCAGGTGAACATTTAATTAAACTCGAATTTAAAATCAACAGACTGTTGAAGTGATTTTTTTCTTCTTCTTCAACATTTCTTTTCTCATTCAGTGACATTAAATATAATTAACTTGAACACAATAATGATAATTAATTAGCAAAAGGCAAAGTCCAATGAAAGAACAACAAAATCAAAGGTAAAGTGGCAAAAGAACTGCAAGGTTACCCTGAAGGGTTACAGGATAACATGTTGAATGAGAAAAGGTTAGTTGATTTGTTATTCATCAACATTACAATTGGAGTGTCGCTCAATTTTGTGGTTAATCAAGTCACTTGGCTGACCAGTTAAGGTCAACAACAAATCTGAGTTTCAAGATTTTCTTCTTTACATATTCATGAAGTTCCAAATGCTGAAACACATGGAAATGAAATAATGAACTTGGGCTTGGAATTGGTGGAAAAAGTTTTCACCAAAAAATGGAAAATTTGATTTAAAAGAAAAAGTGAATTCCATTATCGATTGCAAGTTTAATATTACAATGTTATCTGATTATTTGATACAAATAACTAGGAAATGATCGTTTCATGATTTACCTTTTTCTTGTGTTTTCAGATTACACCTTTTCAGAACCTCCTTCTTTTACCCTGTTTTATAACCTTCTAACTTTGATCAGATTAACTGAACAATTGAAACATTTTCTTTTCTCACTTTTCACCGTTTTAATCATTCATTGTTAACCAATTGATTAAAATCAAAAGTTGACCTTTCATTGAAAATGAACTTGATAATTGATTGTTGTCATCTCTCAGCATTTCCCTTTTGTTGGTTGAAAGTCTTGTTTCAAATGGTAAAGGTTAAAGTGTAAATTAGATTCATGGTTTGATTGTAAATTGCCTTTTGTCATCTTTTTCAGCTCAGTTCTGACAAGTTGTGATAATTTTGGTAAACCGTTGAATTTAAATGTTGAAAGGATGAGATAAACAATATTTACTTTAAAAGTAAACTTATCACTAAGTTAGATGATTGTTTATGTGCACTTTCAAAGATAATATTATATATCATCATGAAGTTGCAGAAGTAATTCATGAAAAAATAATGAAAAAGGTTATAATATTAAAGATAAATGAGATAATAAAACTTTTGAATCTTATATAATTGATGTTGACAGGTAAAAACAGAATGGTTACCTTGGCTGAAGGCAAGGAAAAGAAGAAGAAAAAGAAATGCGAAAAAGGTAAAATTTCAAAGTTGAATATTTTATCACAAAATTCACATTATTTTCTGCTTCTATTCATTATAATCACTTTCAATGTTTACCTTTTCTTTTTCCCATTCAATCATTATAATTATTGATGATTAATTCAAAGGTAATTATCTTTCATTAGCAATCCATTAATCGATTTTGATTCGCAAGGTTGAAACAATTTTCAAATTCAATTCAAGATTATCAAGATTGATGAAACGACAAATGAAACCATTAATGATCATCAAATTTGAATCAATTGATGAACATGTTTCGTTTTGTAGATTGAATTGAGAAAATTTCAATTCTAAATTATTTAGAGTTTGTTTGTGCATTTAATTTTGAAATGCTGGGATTGATTGAACCAAATGATTATTGATTAACCAGATTTATTGAAACATGGCGAGAGATCAATATTTCACTTAAACCTTTAATTGTTCACTTTTCTCCATTCAATCAATTCCTTGCATTTCATTGATTGTCAAAGTTAATTGATTAACTCAATTTTATGTAAAAATGCTTTACTTTACTCTTTCTTACCTTAATTTCACTTTTCCGTTCCTTATCCTAATCATCATTGTCTTTCCTCTTTACTCATTCAATCTGAGTTCATTCCTCATGAGACTTGAACAGTTTACGGATAAGCTATTAGTATAAGAGATAAACTCGATTGTTTTCCATTGATAAATCTACTCTTTTCGGTGAATCAAGATTACTCAACAAGAGGAACAATTCATGTTTATCAATGTTGAGGATAAAATTTGCTTTTCTCAAGAAAAAGCTTGAAATTCATTGACTGATTGAAATGCTTGGAAAGTTAGGAAAATTGGTGAATCACAAAATGAGGTTTGAATTTTAATTTTGTTTTCATTTCTTCACTTTATTCAATTCTTCATGGAAAATGTGAAACTCTCAATTTGATAGAAAGATGAATGAATAAAATATATGCAAAAGGTGAAGAATGGTGAACCTGAAAAGGGAAAGTAATATCTTAACAAATACTCGAACAAGAAAAGTCTTTTCATGTGTGTTTATGTGTTGTTGCCATATTTGATGAATGAAATGCACTTGTGTTGCCATTGCCTACTTGCCTGTCTTCATTGTCTCTCTTTCCTTTCTTCCGATGTTTATCTATTCTTGACTGGATCGATAAAATAGCCTGTCCCAGGGAGAATCATGACTATACATGGAAACGTTCATTTAAACCATTCTGAGTCTGACTGTTGGCTGAAAGTTTAAAAACAGAGACTAAAAAAGCAGGAAGACTGAAAAGTGTTCAAGAAAACAAAGCAATTTTGAGTTTAACATTTAAAGACTAAATGAATGGCTTATTGGCCTCAATATTGAACAAACTTTTTTTCAT